CGGAAAATACGAAACTGAATTTTCTCCATACCAAATTTGACTAGCGTCCTCATCAATTTTTGAACAAGCACTGGACATTTTTAGGTGCTATAACAAATTTAAAGTAGCCTGTATTATTTGTTTCTATTATAAATAAAGTACCGGTAGATAAGAACTAAGTAGATTTATGTCTAATGGTGAGATATAGAATTGGTTTCTGAGAGCAACGTTATGATCATCTAAATTCTTGTAACTGAGGGTGTTGTTATAACCAGGAAAGCCTCAGCGTTGTTGCTGGTAATGTGAGACATCCTTGTGTGTCACTGCCCTTACACGTTATTTGTTTTAGTGGCAAGTTTTATGGTATTTAATATTAGAAAGGAACGAAGGCCAAGTGAGGACAAGAGAAAACAACGGAGTTAGGAGAATGTCGTAAAGACTAATAATAGCAGAACAGGATTAATATGTGTTGTACTAATGTCGCTATAGTCTGTTATTTTATTTCAGTAGGGTAATATTAATTTGGTTTTTTATTGCGTCGTTTCTTTTAACGAGTTGTTTATTAAGAAACGTTTATAATGCGTGTAAAAGTACATTTGCCCTACACTAATCTACATTTTGTCACGCTGCTCCTGAACACAGGTTTTTTTAAATATCCGACATTTTCCTGTTTTATTTTAGCGGGGATAATAATCACATGTTTCACTTCATTAAATGTTCTGGGAAAGTAATTATCAGTGCAGAATATTTGACTGAAAAGTCCTGTAGCCTGATAAATTTGGCATCTTTTATTCAGTAATCTTCCTTATTCGCGAAATCCAATCACCTAAACAAAATGGTAATTATTCAGTATTTTGAACTTCTCAGCAATAATTTTAGCCGAGGTACCGCATAATGACTACCTTACGTAAAAATTAAACTTGCAAAACAAGGAGACTTACGGATATAGATTGATTTACACTGCTGGATCCTAATTATGATCGCCTAGCAACCAGACCAAAGACTGGCAAAAACGGATGACGGCGAGGGAACGGATTTTTTTTGTGTAGAATGATATGACTTTTACGACCATGATTACCACCATTAATCGTTCAAGTCACTTTACTGTTTACTACATTATAAAACAATACTATTATCTAATCCGAAACCTATATGTCTATTTTAAGCAGCTTGATTGGGATATACAGTGTTTTAAATACAGCTTAGTTCTGTGATTTGAGCTCTTCGACGCAGATTCCAGTTCAACACATGACACTCTTGCTATTATGTAGGCCTCTGTTTTTTACACTTCACACACGATGTGCATGTCGGAAAGAATTATTTTCGTAGAGAGATGCTATAACTTAGCAAAACTGTCAAAATCACGTGCACCTATAGCACCAAGTACTAAAACGGAACGTGATTGCTGTGGACGGGGCGAAACAGTGTACGTTAAAAAAACATGACATTCAGATTTCTGCTTCAAAGAAAATGTTCCACGTATCCGTTACAAAATTCAGTCTCTTTATGTATTTAAGTAGAAAAACTGTGTATAATCTGAGAAGCAAATTCATAAATACAACCGTGGAAAAGGCTCTGTGTTATTCAGCATAAGAAAAAGTGTTAGATGTAATTATCTCCAATTTAGATACACAGAATTCACAGAATTAATGAGTTACAGTTACTTAATATTGAAGGTAATAGAAGTATTAATTTATAAAATGTTCATTCCATAGGCTTATTAGTGCATGGATTGAAGTGTTGAGGACGGCACTTGGAGGACAGGGGTATTGATAAACTGCCAAATCTCCCATTTGGTGTCTTCCCTTGATGTTCTCCAGCTGAAATATGTATGCCTTCCATGTTACTCCCATGATTCCAAATACCATTCTTATAAATTTAACAGCACTAACGATTTTATGTACAGACTGCTGCATGACTCATTACATAATATTATTCATTACCCCCTTAATCCGTTTCGATTCGTATGCCGATTTTCGCTGCATAGACCCTGTGAAATCCAGTGACCCTGTCTTTCGGTTGTCGTGGTAACGCTGTCGTGCGCCAGGGCGAGTAGTTTGGTGACGAGAGTCGAAATGCCTTCTGGTCGGAAGTGCTCTAACGTGAAGCACTGGCCATGCCATAGCGCAGGCGGTAGTCGTCTACTCACCCGGGTTCATGCCTGGATCAATTCAGTTGGATTTGTAGTGAGAAAAGTGGCAATGGGTTTTTTCCCCCGAGTTCCCGGTTTTGTCGGTCAAAATTATTCCCCCGCTGTTTCAAATTCATTCACGTATTATCTGGAAGACGGAGAATGGGTCCATTAGCGGCAACAGTTCCTTTGAGACATAATCTCACCTCCCCGTAACGGTAACAATAACGAAACATGTCATGGGGCATGAACGAAAGCAATGCGTCTAACGCAAAGTATTTGTCACGGGGCATAAGAAAGTAGTTAGTCTAACGCAAAGCATTTGTTACTGGGCATAAAAAGTAGCACTTGTAACACAAAACGTGTGTTATGGGTCGTGAAAGAACAGTGCGTCTAATCCAAAGAATTTGTTAGGGGGGCATGAGAGAAAGCATTGCAACGCACATGAGGTATGTTGAGATATGGCATGAGAAAGATCTGTACGTCTTCATATAACTTTTCCGCTTGCTGAGCGCTCCACGGGTAGACACTTCGTGTCCATGTTATGAAAGTCATACCCCATTTTTAGGGTCTGAGCGAACACTGTTCCTGCTTCGTTGCTTTCCTTGTTTCGATTACAGTTTATATATATATATATATATATATATATATACATACACACACACACACACAAACATACACGCACGCACACAGAGGATGAAACGAAATTCACGCACAAGCTCTCCATAGTGTGATTCATTGTTAGAAAATAAGTCAATAATAATGTACAACATGTGTCCCGAGACTCATAGTTTTCGAGATACAAGTCACCATCAAATGGGGTAACCAACTTCTCAGCAGTGTTGTTTGTCACGACGATACATAAAGAACGTTGTTTGGTGTGTTCAAGAGACGCAATGCACAGCAGGTCTCACTTGTGCCCGAACGACCATGGAATTCACACGCGACGAATACTGCTACATGATCATAACCATCGGTGCTTTTAACTGTCCAGCTGGTTATGCTGCACGGGAATAAGCGCTACGTAATCCTGGTCGACTTCGTCTAGACGCTAATGTGTTTCGACGCCCCTAGCAGCGTCTACGTGAGAGAGGACATGTAACAATTTACGGCGAATGTGAATGCAGGTCGCTACGGACTGTGCGGAAGCCATCCAATGAAGACGTCATACTTGCAGCTGTGGAACGAACCATTGAGAAGCTCATGTGTTATCGCACGAGAATTGGGACTAACCAAACCAAGGGTCCTCGACGTAATTCTCGACGATCAATTGCATCCATACCACTACACGCGGAGCGCACATCTGTTTCCAGACGATAGTCTTCTACGAATACAGTTTGATGAATAGCTACGACATGAACACAGTGTGGATGAGCTCATTTTACACAAAATTTTGTGGACAGACGAAGCGTGTTTTACGCGTGAGGATGCCTTCAACGTCCACAACTCACCTCTGGTCACGCGATAATCCTCATGCTAACCGCGAACGTGGGCATCAAGTCTGCTTCAGCGTCAGCGTTTGGGCTGGTATCGTCGGGGACATTGTCGTGGGCCCCATCTGCTACCTGACAGGCTAACTGCTCAACATTATCTTGATATTTTGGAAACTTCTTCTGGGGCTGCTTGAAGATGTGCCTCTAGGTGTGCGACACAAGTTGTGGTTTCAGCACGACGGAGCTCCAGCGCAGTGTGGGGAAGATATCCGGCAGTTGTTGAACGCGACATATCCAGGAAAGTGTATTGGACGTAAATGGACAATTGCATGGTCTCCTAGGTTGCCGGCTCAACTCCGGTGGATTTTTCGTGTGGGGACGCCTGAAGGAGCACGTTTATGCAATCCCTTCTAGGTCTATCGAAGATATTGTGTCAAAACTTCAAGGAACTGTGACAGTGGTCGATGTCGTGGCGTGTCAGATAGAATGCCTACGGCACACTACGGGCCCTTGTCCACGACAAGAATTTTCGCCGTCCGCCGTTCCGATAGATTTACCGGGTTGGTAGTGATACATTGTTTCATATGAGAGTTTGTCCACGAGCCATCACGGCAAATCTACCGGTCCGGCTGCCGGATGCAGCACCGGATTCCCACTGTACAGACGGCAGCCAGACGGTGCACCGTGTTCTCAGTGGGACATGCATTAACATGTCTACGTATCCACGAGCCGGCGAGCTCGCCGTCAGTCATCAGTTGGTCTTGAGAGAGCGTGCAAGTTTCATAGTCTGTAGTATTCTTTCTTTTCTTTAAATGCACCAAATTTAAATCGGTCTTGCAACACAGGATGCACCCAATACCTTCTACGTCGTCGCTGTTTCTTTCTGTAAAAATAATATAGTGCAATGAGGGTGCATACATCCGTATCCCTTCTACCGCACCCGTGCACAGACTCACCTCGACTCGAGTGAAACATTTTCCGCGCGCCTGCCGTCTCCGTGGACAACGCCACCCGGTTTTGTCTACCGGCCGGCGGACTTACCGTTCCGACAGAAATTCTTGTCGTGGACAAGGGCCCTACCGCCTGCAGTGAAATGGACAGCGGCCACTTCGAACACCTATTGTAACCACGAGGTACCCATGGTTTAATCATCTGATTGCTTGCGGCATTTGACGGTGACGGTGTATCATGAAACCTTAACGTCACAGGACATATGTTGTATAATATTTTCAACTTGTTCTTTGATAAGGAATCACACTATGGAGAACTCGTGCGCGCATTTCGTTTCGCCCTGTGTGTGCGTATGTGAGACATCAAGAGTTTCGTGTTAAAATTGCAATATTGGTGAAACATAAGATATATTCTGACAATGCACACATTGAATTAACCACTATCACCACTTTCTGTTGATCTCATTGGTGATATTCTAACTAAGCCAGTGAACTGTGTGTTGAAAGGTGCTGTGGAGGCCTGCCTGTCGCAGGGGCTGAAGAGAAGAGCACTCGGGTTGTTTAAGACCAGCTCCACCACAGCGCTACTGCATAAGGTAGCGAAGATTTTCGAGCCGGCGGCCATCATCTCCAGGAAAATCCAGGAGATAGAAAACTCCGATCCTAACAGGTATGAACACAGATACTGAGGTGTAGGCCTACTCAAACTGAAAAATGTCCTCCAGTAAATGACTTAACAGCTCTTCGGTAGCATGTTGAAGATGGTTGTCAGACAGTCCGTAGTATTCCAGGAATTTACGAATGTGTTCGGCAGTCCATTACGCGACGTACACATTGTCGCGTCGAAGTACAAGGAGGACATTTGGAACAGTTGTTATAAAAGTTGGAAAGGAAAAGAGTGACCTAACTCGGAAAGAACAAACTTTTCGCTTTTGAAAATTTTTCTTGTCGAGTTTAATTTATAAAGCTAATATTTATTTCTCTAGTGTATATCGTAACTCACAATTTCCATCGTCGTAAAGTCACTAATTGTTAGGAGGTGACAAAAAGCTTATTTTTAGTTAATTTATAAAATTTAGGAGTTATTCAGGTCATAAATGGACGATGAAAATATTTTGTTCCTGGGATGGAAAAGTTTATGTTAATAAGACTAAAAACAGAGAAATCACGAAGGAATGTCGACAGTGCGAAACTTTGATGTAACACAATGGAAAAATGTACGAGTCGAAACTATGGAAAGAAACAGGTCATTATACTGTGTAATTATTAATTTGTAGTTTGTGCTAGTCTCTCTGTATAGACAAAGCATCTGAAGGAGGGAAGGTGGCGGATATTCTTCCCAGAACTTTTAATAAGGCTGCATGTTGTTTCCTATTGATGTTGGTTTTGCGTAATAATCTTTTCTAGCACTACAGTCTGTTGTGGACTTTGGGTTTCCAGTACAATCTTCATTAATTATTGAAGGTTCTTAGTCAGTGCATGTCAGTTCCTAGATCTCTGCTGAAGTCATAATACTAAACATCCGCCCGATTGGGATTTCAGTTGTACTCTCTTCTCAATAAATTTTGTTTTTACGGGATTGGATTGTCAGTCCAATGCCCAACCCCCAGCATGGCGGACTAGGGTGTCTCTTAGTCTGGAACCTCACTCTTGACCTGTCCGGCTTGAAGACGGAGACACCACCGAGGGGCTACCCGAGTATCATGAGTGCGTTGTTATCCCATTTTAATCGAATCAATTAAAATGCATATCCTCCCACCCGTCCATCCTTTAAATTAAACAATTATGACCTTGCTGCCCACAATGTTTAGAATTTACGCTCGCTAAGTGTCACAGGATTCAAGTCTAAATCCAGTTATTATATGAGACAACGTAGTTTGCCGTTTGAGTTTGGCTTGCTACACGTTTAAAGACTCCGCCTTTGACTACACTTTAACAGGTCTAATTGAATGACATAAAATTAATTTATCTAATTAATTGCTAATCTCACCCCACACCCCTGAAATGATATCGCACGATAGAATTCAAACAACATACAGAGTTTATTATAAAACTGAGTGATATAATCAGATCACATCAGGCAACAACGACAGGAAGGCCCATTATGCAAATTACTACGATTTCATTTCATTTGTGATATTTTATTTGACCTAAGATACTAACAAATGCCGCGCTCGTCCCATCCCCGTCAGCTGTGTTGTAACGACTTTATGAAGCCTCAAGATGCCTCACTGCTTGCGTCATACATGTTATCGGTCACGCGTTCTGATGTGAGTTCATGATGACATTAATTTGGGATAATTGGGGGGTCGAAATTAAATTTACGTAAATACAGGACGGATATGAAGTGAAAGTAACGATTGGATAAAACTGGGAGCCAGCAGTGATTACTGACAAGTTAATTAACACTTAATGTATTGTGTCTGTGTCGGAGGGTAGGGAATCCATCTACAAGATAGTGTAAAACGGCCAGGTTACTGACAACCACAACTAGTGAGTGACACCACGGCAGTTTGAAGAAAACAGTTTTATTAAGAAACTGGCGATGGTTACTTTAGCACTTGCGTAGTGTATTAACTATCTTCAGATTCATTTACACTTGCCATGGCTTTTGTGATCCTGATGGCCACATTTTAAAAATATATCACGCGAACATTTTGGAAGGTTTAAATTTTGTAACAGAATGTCAAATACACTAATTGAAACATTAATGACGAGAGTTTTGGGCCATTCCATTTCACAGTCATAATGAAGAATGGTCTCAAATGTCAGCGTTAAATATCGTGCCCCATCCCCCCAATCAGATTTCTAGTTGAAGAAATCGTCAGCAAAAATGTCTTGACTCTTATTGGTCATTTCAAAGTGACTAGTTTCAAGAGATTTTTACAAGCAATTGTTCTGTTCCCGGAGCTTTGATATCGAGATTACAACAGACTCCTTTAAGCTCCGAACATTGACATATTTTCTCTACTATAATTTATGAGTAACGTCATGCTTATATGTTCTTCAAAATGACTTACATGTTAACAGAGAATAACGTACAGTCAAACTCGGTTATAACGAGATCCAAGGGACCGAGGAAGAGTGCTCGTTATAAACGTTACTCCTTATGTACACTGATTGTCAAAATTTGTCTTTTCTCCCCTGCCATTTCAATGTTAAAAAATAACTGAATTTAACACAGCACTACAATACCTAAACCACAGAAGCAAAATTATTTTTAAAAATTTAAAGTGTTTGTCCCAAGTTTTAAAAAGACATATCCGCTCACAAAGATTTGAAATTCCACTGAATTCTTCATTTCGACTGAGTTTGAAAGCTGAAAGTTTCACTCTACATTTGCCCTGATACCTGAGAGCCCCCGTAGACCCTCGGCACCCCCGCCACGCAGGGTCTGCGGGTATTTTCGCTACACCACTGGAACGAGGGCTATGCTCTTCCTGAGTAGCGTCAAATTAAATTAAAAATTAAATCCGTGGCGTAACAGCTCCAGAGAGCCAAAATTTCCTCACGATGCTGGGTTGGCACCGGTCCCATACATTGGTCGAAAGCTCATGAGAAAATTTCTTCTCCCCCGAGACTCGAACCAGCGCGCATTCCGTATCGCCGGTCCGAGGCATGATGCCTCAGACCGCGCGGCTACGGCGCGGGACCTTCCTGAGTAGCGTACCGCACTAAATGAGATTCTGAGAACGGAAATCAAACCAAAGACACTATGAATGTCGAATGTAATTATCGTTGCAAGGCTTAGAGATTGCTGCGGGCAGGGATGTGGAAAGAGATGAAGGGGAGAATGTCTTAAACGGGCAAAGCATTAATAAATCTTAGTCCCTCGTACGGCAGTTCAGCCACTGCTCGTTATAATGGCTTTAAGACTTGCCAACCAACCAACTCCTCTCTGTTGGCTCGCAATAGCCGAGATCTCGTTATGACCGTGCGTTCTGTTGTATCTAATTAACAAGATTTTCCCCTTGAAGAACTACAACATTTTACAACCGTAACCGTTAACTATTAGGTCCCGGGCCTTGAAGAATAATGAACACTCTTATTTACGTTTAGTTACCAAAACCAGAATATGTTACAATGCCAGCCCTTTGGTCTGTGTTATAGCGAAAACGAGACGCAATATTGCTGACCGTCAAATCTCTCATTGAATCTGCTGGTTTACAGTTGCGCTGTTTCTTAGAAGCTACATATCAGCGGTCTAATATTTCACGGTTCCTTCGCAACTAATAAACAAGTACTGTGCTTCTGAAAATCAACTGCCGTTAAAACAACGGTGACCAAAAAGCTAAGTGAAGTGAATTAATGTATAGTTTGATAAGACTAACAGTAGACTGTAATAATGTTTATATGACGAGAGTGTATTTACCGAGGCTGTCTGGTGGCATCAGGGAATAGTATGAACACGAATTGAACATTAATAAGTGAATTAAATTTGTTTGACGTAATTAAATACATAGACCAAATTGGCAAGTGCCACGTGCCCCGCCAGTGTTTATGTCATCGGTGTTTATTGGCCTACACAGGCGCAACTTCGTTGTTACGGCCCAAAGGCAAATCATTAAATCGAGTCCCCCCCCATAGTTAAATTATATGTATACACACATATCCATATACAACATAAAGTCTTATTTTACTTTTAAGAAAGTAACGAAATATAAAGTTTATTCGATTTATTTATGTACTATGCTCACATAATTCATGACGAATTATTGAATTAATGATGTTTAAAAGGAATTCACGTTTACTTTTTTGTATGTCGAAAACAGGAATTATAATTTTACATCATCACATTTAAAACTAAAACTAAATTATTGATTAATTATATGCATCCTGGACAAGGCGCATGGCCACATGCGCAATTTACGAGTTTGCTTGAGGTTTCGACGAAATTTGCGTGTGCTGTAATAAAATATGAAAAGTTCATCGAAAATCCGCCAATAATACTTTGTTTTTTACTTTGCTTTTGTCATAGTCATATTATTAATTAATAGAATTTGATGTTGTCATGGAAAGATGGCTGCCTTCTGGGTTGTATGGTTTACCAGCGTTTCAGAGGTCCTTGCTGCCTCCATCATCAGGGTGATGGTCGCCTGTGTTACGTCATAGGCTTGCATCGGAAACCCCTGTCCTACTGTCGATGTTGTTTCAGCACGTATACGTTTTTACAGTTTTTAACATGGCTGTAATCTGTATGAGATGTGTAATGTCAGTGGTTTTTATGATTTTAATAATTACACATCAATATAATTATTATACTATCCTCAAATTCAGACTTAATTTTTTAACATCTGATAGTAACCTACTTGATATATAATATTATGTACTGCAGCCATGATGAGAAAACTAGATCCAGCTTGAGGCTATTTATAGGTTAACCATTCCTGGTCTAAGTTTATTCTTGTGTTTGCCCAGTGATTTCCTTCCACAGAAGTATTGAAATCACTCGAATTTTTCATAAACATTATTATTTAGCTTACAGTTTATCTTGAACTCTATTTTACATCTTAAGTAGGCCAGTCAAAATTATTACTTGTGCTGAATATAATTTTTGCTCATACAGGTTATATAAGATAAAATGTAATTAGTTTAGTTTTTGAGGTGGATGTTTTTATAATGTATTCATGCATTTCATGTACTATAAGGTTTTCTTGAGAAGTTTAGTAAGATGTTTGAATGACTTTTTATAATTGTAATATGATGATGAATCATTATATATCATTCCATAAGTTAATGTTATATAGTCTGAGCTAAAAGATACCATAATTGAATTAGCCGAAGATAATTAAATATGTTATTCTATAAGAAGTGCAAGTTTGATTATATATATACACTTCATGATTTGTAAATAAATTTTTGACAGTGAAGTTCCTTGGAGGTGACAAATATGATTTGTGTTTTGATCAGGAGATCCTCATCAAGTGGCGACAGCACAAACCGCCCACCAGTGACTGGGAAGCCACCACTGCAGAAGAAGAACTCTGCTGGTGGTGTCATGACCCCTGCTGGGCCGCCAAGCCCTCGTTACTTGTGGATACGTCTAGCACTATTTGAAAAGCAGCTAGCCATCATCATTGACTACCTTGTACAGAACAGCAGGTACAATAATGCTAATTTACAACCTCAACCCCTGAAACTCAAATATTAAGGTTTTATTTAATTGTTAAATGTTGTAAGACTTGAGGTTCTCACAGCGGTGAATATGAAGATTTCTGTCTTCTGGGTTATTGCGCTGTGTAGTCTGGTCATGTTGTTTCTCACTTTAAGGGAAAAAAGTCCTAAGTATTTTTTTTGGATCTAGAGAGGTTGCTACATTTTATTTTTACATATTAATTTAAATGTAACAGTTGATGATTTCCAATGATCATCATCATGGGTGTGAGTCATGGACACTTACGGCATCTCAGCTGAAGAGATTAGAGGCAGCAGAAATACAACTACTGAGACCACTCGCAGGACATACACTTCTTGACCACAAATGGAACGAAGACATTCGTAAAAAGTCGAATATAGAGAGCATCACCAGTATTATCAGCGCATATAGGAAAAATTGGTGGGAGCACGTGACCAAATGCCTCCACACAGAACCCCACACAGACTACTGCTCTACGAACTATCGGGAAGAAGGAACATCGAATGACCGAGCAAACATTGGAAGGACCAACTATGATTAACTCGAGGAGATGGAATAGGCCCAATGGCCTAATCCATAAAGTTATTGATAATGATGATGATTTCTTTTGTATTGTCACCCCCCCCCTTTTCATTGTACCTTTAGAAGTGTATATGAAAGCTGCCTAATAATACTAGTATTTGTAAAATAGAACATTATACCATCTAGATTCATTACTGAGCATATGGCCAGTCATGCAAAACACACACACACACTTGCACATGTGCACTAAGACACAAACAGATTTAGTCAATTCTTAATCTAATACATGTGTAATATGTGCATGCACCATGTGTACAGTGTAAACACATGCATATATATCCATCCAACTTTCATATAATTCTAATAAAGTGTATTTTGATTATTGCAGTAAATACTATGAAAAAGATTCCCTAGTTGCAGATTCTGATTTTGGCTCCATTCTTAGTTCTCTGCTTGGTAAGTAGTTTAAGTTTAACATTTGGGTATAGGATACATAATACAAATAAACATTATTATATTTTTGTAAATGTATCTACTAAAATCTTATCCCAAAAAGGAATTAATTTATTTTATGGTAGGCTACCTGTTGAAATTGTTAAAAGGACGATGAGGAGCAATACCAAATAACTTTACAGTGCAGGTTCTTAAGTAGCAGATAGTTCTTCAGATGGTCAATGATATCCTCTGATTTATATAACTGTGTTCACAAAAGCTTGTATTTGAATTCTGTTCTGAGCCACTTTCATCCAATATGCTTCATGTTACTAACTAAACTAACTCATGGAGCAGAGTCGTTCTTGAGGAAAATAGTATGTTTAGTTAAACAAGAAACTAATGGCTCTTTTATGAAACCTGTAGGTTCATTACCATGTTTGCAAGAACCTTCCATTAGTCCCTATCCTGAACCAGGTAAATCCAGGGGATGGCTGTCTTCTATGTTGTAGCGCTTTGTAGTCTGGTAGAATTTTACCAAAGTTTCAAAGATGCTTACTGCCTCTATTACCAGGCAATGGAGGCAACAAGGACCTCTGAAATGCTGGTAAACTTCTTATCTGACTACACAGCACTACAACCCAGGAGACAGTTACCTTCAGACTTACTGCCATGAAAACATCAAATGCTACAGATAAATCCAATCCATAACCACCAACCTGATTTCCATAAGATCCACTTAAACATTATCCTCCTATCTGCACCTAGGTCTTGTGAGTTGTCTCTTCCTTTCAGGCTTTCCAACAAATATTTTGAGCACATGTATTTCATGCATCCTACATGCAAATTATGAAACTCCTAATGAGGAGTTTTCTCCATCCCTTTCTCTCACATCTCTTTTAGGTCCAAAAATTTTCCTCAGAATTCTGTCCTTAAGTTCTGTCCACTCAGTTCTTCCCTCAGAGGGAGAGATCAAGTTTTACTGTCATATAAAGAACAGATAAAATTATATAATTGCCTGTTTTGATAGTGTGTGGAAAGATCAGTGATTTTGATCTTAATGGTAGCATGTATTTCCCAAATTTAATGTACTGTTAGTTTTATCATGAAAAAAGTTAAATTTTGTTGTTGCTGTTGTTTCCACATACGTACATAAACATTATCATATTTTTATATCATATTATTTATTGTTGTGCAAATTATTGGGAAACAGCAGAATAAAATATCTATTGGTGAATGCCATTGCTGTGCAGCAGTGGGACCCGAGATCACATTGCAGCAGAAACAATCTGAGATTGTTGTTGGCAGACATATATATGTTCTTCAATATGTCTGTAATCCACAGAACTATTCCATCTCTAGAGCAAAATGAAATTCAGTTATTTTAATGCTGCTGCTGTTATTAGCTGATAGATTTGAGACAAATAATTGAAGAATAATAAACACTGAGTATTCATTACATTAGCAACTATAATTATTATCTACTAACAGAGATTAAAAACCTTGCAGTAATTAACAATAGTGTACAGACTAAGTAGGATCTGAAGTTGCCACATTGGCAAGTATGAAGTCTTCTGAGTTGTAGCACCATGTTGTCTGGTAGAAATTTGCCAACTCTGTAGCATAGCATCGCAGTGTGTTATGTAGATTCTTGTTTATTTCTGTCAATTTCATATATACACACACACACACACACACACACACACACACACACATGCGTAAGTTTAAAAATTCCCACAGACAGCAACACTCTGACCTCTTCCATCTTCCCTAATAGAACAGACAAACACACCATAGCACACATCATTCTGCAGCAATATATGACAAAACACACAGCTCAGGTGAAGTAATATTCCACAACCACATTTCATAGACACACTTAAAACACGCCTAGTCAAGTAATTTTACACATTCTGCTTACAGATTACAAAAACACATCCAGACTCACTGAGCGGTGCTAACATTTTTTTGACATTTTTAACTGTTTTGACTAATTTAAAACAAAATGTTTAATCCATAATTTTTATCTTTATTTGTGACATCAGTCCAAGAACTGAGACTGACAGACTGTGAACTGAGTGTGTGAAAATGATGGACAGGAATACATGATTTACCAATGTTTCAGAGGTACTTACTCGTTTATCACAGGGTGATAATGGAGGCAGCAAGTTCCTTTGATGCACTGGTAAATCTGTACCAGAATACATGGTGTTGCAACCGAGAGACAGCCATCGTTGTATACTGATTACATGTAACATAAATGGAGAGTTCATAATGACAAAACAAATATGAAACCTTTTATTTTCATGTTTATTTACTCTTGTATAGATCAGTAAAATGTTATTATTATGAATAAAAGATGGTTCTTATACTTCAGTTGGCCCTTGTGCATTGGATTACTCCAAAACAAAAACACAAGACCATTTCTGGACAGATCCACCTGCAGATGAGTTAGTACAAAGGCATCGTATCTCCAGTGGCCATGCCACTCCGCCCTCCTGCCGGAGACCTGCCCTCAATGTGAGTGATGCTGGAGGAAAATGCCTCAGCATTTCCAGTCTCTAAACCTGCAGATAATAAACTGGAGACACTTGGTTTCAGATCAGAAACCAGTACTGCTTTGGGCACGCACTTGAACTTAAGTGACCAGTTCTCATCAGATTAAAAGAACATACAGAAGTGTCAGTTTTTTTATTCATAATAACTAGATCCAATTTAATATGATGATACTGTTATAAATAAAATAAACAATTTCTGTAGTAGTATTATAGTAGTTTATAACATATCATTAACAATGGAAGTATTTTTAGCTTTTGATTTTTCAGTCTTCTAATGTGTATACACAATGATTTATGCAGTTCCGACGCAGTTTGCATGCTGTCAGCTCAGAAGAGGGTAATCGCCACATCCCCCTTTCAGCTAAAGACTATGTGGAGTCCCTCCATCAGAACAGTCGTGCCACGCTGCTATATGGGAAAAACAATGTTCTTGTGCTGCCTGTGAGTTGCTAGTGCTTGTAAAGTAACATGTTTTTGTGTGATGAATTATAAAATTTAGCAGTAGTTATTGTTCTTAATAAATCAGTATGTCCAAAGGCACCAACATTTTGTAAGCTGTTCTTCTCTGCCAGTACCATCTGAGATCCATACATATTTTAAATATGCAATCAGATTGTAGATTTTCAGTTAAGACTAAGTCACCTCAGTGCCTTTGTTTTGAAAAGAATTAACCTATGATTCTAAATAATATTATCATAACCATGCAGACATTTATTTCATGGTTTTGACTAACAGACAGTATATAATTTGGTGTGAAGTTGTATCATTAACATGTATACAAATTTTTTGTACAATTTAAATCTAAATTTTATAAATAACAAATACAGTAACAGTGTGAATATTTGTGGTCATGCCTGACAACTTTGAACCAATGATAATCTATATCAACAGGTATAATGCCCAGAAATATATAAAACTGCTTTGTAAAAGCATTAATTTGTGGTGTCCGTTAGCATTGCTGTGAAGTTAACAGTTCTGTTGCTGTGTCTAATTGCAGAAAGACATGACAGAACCCATGCCTGGTTATTTATCACTTCACCAGACAGCACACTTGCTGACTATTAAGTGGACACCGAACCAACTCATGAATGGCTATTCAGAGACTGAAATACAAGACAAAAGGTGTGTATTTTGCTTCTACACAGTGTAGATGAGTAAATTCCAACTGTAAATATGAGATTGTAATGTGTTAGTGTACAGTGCATCATCCTGAATATATGTTTAGTTTGTTACGGTTATTTAAGATTTATAACAACAGTCTCACTATATTAAATCTCACCATAGTTTAGTCTGAATATTGTTCAAACTAAAATATTAAAAAAACATGTCCCACTATATGCCATATAGGTGCTGGGGGGGGGGGGGGGGGGGGGGTATGGCTCTTACTCATTAACCTCGGCACTAGGTGGGGGTGAGTGGTTAGCGTCATGCCCTGGCTGCGCTTTACCCCTGGGAAAGGAACCCATTGGACAGGAGGCTGGTGGACCCCAGAGCCGATCTGGATGCAGAGGCTAGAGAAGAAATCCTCTGCCTCTGTCAGGGATCGAACCCTGGTTGTCCAGTCCGTTAATGTTTAGTTAAATATTTTATTACAGAAATATAAATCTTAATCCTGTGTGATAGTTTATAAATCCAAAGATGGGTTAATATTTCACATTATAATTAGGAATTTGCTGTACTTAAAAGCCTAGTTTCCTTCAGTAGGTAAGGAACATAAGGTATACATTGCTATGATGGCTGTAAACATAATGACAAATCACTGCTTTATGATAAATATCTTCTGCCTACATGAAATGGTTATTCTCAACACAGTTTACACTTTCATGCCTTAGTTGTACACGTATTTTCTTTACACTATATTTTAATTTTTTGTGTTATTTATTATTTGTTATATTTTAGTCATATTTTATTACACACTATTTTGTTATGGTGGGATGCACAGACGAGGCAGTTTACCAGGGATACAAGCTGCTAGGAAGTGCCCCCTGTATCGACGTTCTTCCACTCAGACTCAGCTTGTGTAAGTGGAACCATATGATTTAGGATGCTTGAATTCTCCATGTAATTTTTTGAGGTACATTGATTCTGGAGGTCTGGTGGAGGCAGTGTGCGCTTTCTGTTTATGCTTTCTTTCATAACTTTTAACTTTGTAATTCCATTGTATCCTGTCCTTAATAAAATGAGGCACAATTGAGGGCTGTTATGCATGTGTATTTATGTTCTGGATTTGGCATCACAAAATTCTGCACATAAATATTTAACTCAATAATCATAACAGAGTTACCTTTTATGTTTATTTTGTTTCTATGTGACAAGTCTGGTAAAGGCTAATATTCAGATAACTATAATGAGCACATAAGCATGAAGTCAATTTATTAAAATGTTCAGGTATTATATAGCATCACAGTCTATTGTATATTGTCATATGTTTTATTTGTCCATCATTTTTGTAGTAAATCAATGAGTTATAATTATAAACTATAGTGTAAGTTTTTATTATATTTTCCTTGACTGAAACACACAAAAATTGAAGTGTAATTCTTATAATAATACATTTTATTTCATTATAAAATTAGTCTTTTATATTTAAAGATGTATATTACTTATTTAGTTTGATTTTGATAGAGGAGTTCTGATTTTTGTTTAACTCAGAATGTTGATTAAAATGTAGCTGAGATTGCATTATTACTGTTACAAGATGCTTTTCAGAAGACAGGAAGTGACAGCATTCATTTCAAGTATCTTTGTACAACAGATCTGATTATCTTGTATCATATTAAGTTAGTTTATCATCAGCTGAAACCTGATGACCAATATATGCATTTAGTAAAGCATTGTTGATGACAGCACTGACAACCTATAAAGGCCTCAGAAGCAAATCAAGGAAGATGGTGTTATGGGGTTGCTGCCTGTTTTACATGAATACAGACACCACCAGCTACTTGATGACTTCAATGAGAATTAAAAATCAAAATAAAGGGATATATATTTTGATCTTATAATGCATATTTCTGAATTTAGAATAAAACCAAATTACTATTTATTTTTATGGCATTGCATAAAATTGCTGTATATTAAAGCCCTAAGTGGAGGCAGAGAAGAAATGTGCATGTAACTAATTGATTTATGCCATACCAAAATGTATTTACAACCTCTATTTGCTGTGTGCATCCTGGGTTCTCTGTGGTCCAGCTGGTTGTGTCTCTCAATAGTGTGGCTTTAAACCATTAAATTGAACCCAGTCAGCAGCCCCATAGTGTATGAGTTTATATCTGCTGTTCCACTATGATAAATGCTAAACATCTGGTGCTCAGATTTATTTGTTAGTGATCTGGTCTTTGTAGAGTTATCATAGGCTGTTTTCCGTCATTGTATCTGTAACTTTCTTTTAGTATCAATACAGTTTGTAATTATACGTTTCTGTTTCTTTGAAATTAATAATTTGTATTGTTATAGCTTATATTGGGACTATGCCATGAACGTGCAAGTCGATGAAATAGTGTATGTTCACTGTCACCAGCAAGGTAAATAATGAACATACATGCATGAATTCTGTGTTACAAATATAATTTAGACACAGTTTTTAGTCATTTAGAGATTTGTTAGTGTACTAATATACCTAAAAATTCAATGACATGATATATCATTAATTAGTGGATTAACTTCCATGTGAGAAAAAAAATCTTGAGTGCTCTCTCTCTCTCTCTCTCTCTCTCTCTGTCTGTCTCTGTCTCTGTCTCTGTCTCTGTCTCTTTGCACTCTGGCACTTAGTAACTCTGTATATTCCATTTGTAACATCTGGCTTTAAATTGAGGTGTAGTAGAGTCCCAATTATATGGCCTTTGGTCATCTGACATTTTGTTTTATTCAGTATGCCATGTCAGAATGCTCAATTTTATCAAAAGTCAACTCAGAATGTAGCAGAATGAATCTTACTCCTCCATCTTGCACCTGCATTTTTTTACATTTTATGTACTGTGTTGCTGCAGACATATTACTGTTCAGGCATTGGTGTGACCTTTCCACAAAGAAAAGGAAGGAGGCTCAGAAGCCAATACTCATTACTAATTTCTTAAAAATTAACTTTCATTTACAGATTTACATTATGTTAAAATCTTGAATTGAATTGATATGCTCATATTTTTGATTAATTTTCATATTATCTGACATTTTCAATTATATGAACATCCTTTTGTCCCATTTGCACAGGTTAGAGGTGTAGGTAAGATAATCAGAAATCTACTGTATATGGATAACGAATAATATAGTAATTTTGTGTTCTTGTTACAGCTGACAGTGGTGGTACTATAGTGTTGGTGGGGCAGGATGGAGTTCAGCGTCCTCCAATCCACTTTCCAAAGGGTGGGCATCTGCTTGCATTTCTATCATGTCTTGAGAATGGTCTGCTCCCACATGGACAGCTTGACCCACCACTGTGGTCACAGAGAGGAAAAGGTATAGCAGATGTTTATAATGTAGGTCACTGTTAAATTATCATGGAGACTATCTCCCTTTCATAAATAATTTACATAAGTGGTGTGTCATTTTTATATATATAGTTGGCTCTAAGAGTCTGGTGTCTGTGTCTCAGACCAGCGGGGGAACGTTGGCTGAACTTGTATGCTCACACATTGTATCTAATGTGTCATACTCACAGTTACATCACATATCACACCAGTCCCTGATGGTGGAGGCACAGACAGTCTCTGAAACACTGGAAACTTATTCTGTACTCATACAGGTGATTGATTAAGAAGACTTCATTGCATTCAGTCACTATGGAAGCTCAGAATCTTGTAAAGATATAACTGTTATGTACACATAACAATGTAGAATATGTTAATTAAAAAATATTCTGCTGGACCTAAGTACTATATTGTGGCTTTGTTGTTTTTATGGTCTCTGCAAATATAGCTGCGTGATTTGGACTTGCAGTATTCTTAAAGATTCTGCTGTCTTGTATGATAACAAACCTGAGATGCTGTATTTTTTTAACAATTTATCTACAAGACGAAACAGCTTTGCTTTGCAATAAGCATACACTTTACTGGAACAAGAAATAAAGATTGTAATACCATTATTCACATAGTAATGTTATGCAGTGAGATGTACTTGATTCTGATACAGATAAAACAACAAGAGGATTTAGAAGATCGCATAATGAGGAGCACCATTATTTGTAATCGTTATATTATATTATTACTGGGGATACTGGGACAACCCGTTCTTCAAGTGCCTGAGCACTGCGGGTCCCAACTTTTCGTTGGCTTCGGTAGGTCTGCTTGGACGAGGGGTTGGCGCGTCGCAAGGCCTCTACCTCTACACAGGACAGGACAACACAGAAAAACGCTGACAAACATCCATGGCTTGAGTGGGATTCGAACCCATGGTCCCAGTGACCAAGCGGCACAAGGCCCACGCCTCAGACCGCGTGTCCACTGCGGACCCCATATTATATTATTAGGGTGGTAAAATTAAGGAATTTGAGATTTGTGGGACACACACCATGGTTGGGGAGAGAAAGGACATATGCAGTTTATTCAGAAAACCTGTAGGGAAGACACTATCTCAGAGATGAAGACATAGATGAGAGGATAAAATTTAAATAGATTTTAGAAAATAGGATGTTACTTTGATTAACTTGGCCCAGGATAGGCTCCAGTTGTAGGCTCTTGTGAATATGGTACTAAAATTTCTAATTTCTTAAAAGATGGTGAATTTCTTGAATTAATGCTAGCTTCTCAAGGAGAACTGTAGTTATGAATTTTGTTTTTGCAGGAAAAGTGTTTCCAAAGCTTCGAAGAAAAGGACGCACTCTTACATCATTAAAAAATGGGGAAGATGCAGAGGATGAGACAACTGATTATGTATTCCGAATTGTCAGCAAAGTACGCCATGAGGACTTCTGTAAGTATTGTTGTTTAAAGTTTCCTGGCTATGCAGATATTTGGACCCCCCTCCTTCCAGAATCCAGGAAACTAATCACCACCTACTGGAAAACCAGCCTCGGTTGCCTTCCTGCCCTACGTCGGGACGACCTTCAACCGCATAAGCAGGTTGCTGGCCAGGCACGACATCAAGTCTGTTGGTCTTCCGCCAAAGAAAATTCCCAGTTTTCTCCGGCCGGTAAAGGACGACCTAGGACTGAAGACGCCTGGCGTATACAGAGTTCCCTGCGAGTGCGGAAAAGTCTACATCGGCCAGACAGGCCGTTCCGTTGAGGCCAGGATCAAGGAGCACGAACGCCACATCCGGCTCGGGCAGCCCGAGAAATCTGCGGTTGCTGAACACCGCTTCAACTTGGAGCACAAGATACAGCTAGAGGACACTTCTATCCTCTCCTCAAAAACCGGCTACATGGACCGGTTAATCAGGGAAGCCATCGAGATCGAACTTCATCCTGATAACTTTAACAGGGAAGATGGACTTCTGGTGTCACCTAGGTAGGGACGATGCTTGCGCTTGCGCAGGCCTCCGCCCTCGGTTAGCTTTTTGGTTGGTTGGTTGGTTGGCCTATTGGCATATTCATCGCCCTGATGACGGAGGCAGTATGACCTCTGAAACGTTGGTTAACATCGACCAGACTACACAGCGCAATAACCCAGAAGACAGAAATCTTCACTATATAACCTCATTAAGTAACAGATCACTACCTGCATATGAACAATTTTGAAGCCAATGAAAGTAAGTCAGGTGGGATGACATTTCCAGTTTGTTGAGTGTAATGCATTTAATTTCTTTTTAATAAGTTCTACCACTTGGATTCTAGATAGTTCATATACTGAATACAGCTGCCATTCTGGCTCAGTAGTCTGTGCTTATTTCTTTTATTTCTTGATGAAACTTTGTAACATACTCATGCTGGGAACCTTAGTTTGGTTACTAAGCTATGGGCTGGACAATTGGGTTTTGATTTCTGGCACAGTTAAGATATGTTTCTCTTAGGTACCATGTACAGACCAGCATGTGGGCCACATGCGGCCTCCTATCCAGTGGGTAACAGTGTCCCTTTCCCCTGGGGTTGAAGCACACAACACCTGAAGCTGACCACTCACCTCCGCCTGGTAACAAGTTCAAGAATTTGTCAAACCTTACTGCCACTCTCCCATAGATCTTCATGATGTGATACTAATATAAACCAGGGACAACTTCACCCACAAAACACTGCATGAGAATTACTGATACTGTGAAGTGCTCATATTTACTCTCCAAAAATTTCCCTGCATAGACAAGATGTTAAGTAAAGCCATCCTTTTACATTCTGGCACTGGAAGTGATTGAGTGGTCAGCAGCATGCCCTGGCCACACTTTACCCCTGGGAAAGCACCCCGGTATCCATTGGACAAAGAGACTGGGTGGCCCCAGAGCCAGTCTGGATGCAGAGGCTAGAAGAAAATTCTGCTTCTGTTAGGGATTGAACCCTGATCATCCAGCCTATAACCAGTCACTTTACTGTCTGAGCTACCCTGCTCACTGCATTGACAAGATGTGTGTCATTTAAATTCAAGTAATGTGTACTGAATATTGTTCTTTGTAAACATGGCATACAGTGACAGGCCAAGACTTGATGTATCCTAGTCCACTGACCAGTAGTGTTCAACAACTTCAATCCAAAGTTCGAGCACAGCTCATCTCAACTTCCACAGCCAGTTCCACATCATCATCCAAATCTCTGAGTCTGGATCCAGGAAGTGGTGCAGAAATGCCTGAGAGTCCAAGACAAGGTGCACTGTCAAGTGGTCAAAATCCAAAATTAACCACAGGGTAAGTCAGGAAGCACTGCTGTACTGTACTGTAGCAATGTACTGATACACATCAAAGTTAGAAATTTAACGTTTTAAGTTGTTCACTAAACTCTTTATGTATTGAGATGATGGAAAGCATCCCTCTTTTGCTTATGGTTGAGTCTGATACTGCATGCATATTATCTCATTTCCTGGAATACTATTTTAAAATGTGCACAATAGAACTATTATAAATAGAACATCATAGTGAAAAAATTATGTTACACATTATTCTTTATGTGTCATTGAAAAGTGGCAGACAGAGTTAAGAAATAAGAACTTCTAATCTATTTTAAAGCATATCAAATTGTTTTGACATTCTTTACCGGAAAATCATAATGTTGAAAATATGTTATGAGACTCATAAGACAAAATTGCCTTTAATATTTTAGGTATGGCATGTAAATTCCTTTTGGTCTGTGTGCACATATGGATTTAACTGTAATTTAAATTGTCATGTTAGAAAATACAGTATTTATTTTTTTAAGTTTGAAACTCAAAATAAAACTGTATTATTGAGAAAGAACCCATTTACCTGCACATGAATTTTCATAATAATCAGTCTTTATATATACACCTATTTTATGTTTATTTTTAGTTGTTTCCATGTTTTAATTGATTATTCTTCATACTGCATATTTATGGTGGTAGAAAATCTTCGAGTCCACTGTACTGACTTAGAACTGCCACAGGCATGTTTGTTTGGCTAAGCCTCATTGTGTAATGAATACAATATTTCCCAGAGTTGTTTGTTGGTGTTATGATTACAGACTGGTTTATCAACATTGAGCATTTCAGTATTTGGTAGCACCTAGAGCTGTGTGAAACTGTTTAGCTTAATGAGGAATGCCATATTATCGGGCCGATGAGTCCTGATAATGGAGGCAATAGGGACCTCTGAAACATTTGTAAACTTCTACCAGACTACACGATGCTAGAACCCAGAAGACAGCTGTCTTTGGTCTCTGTGCCATGAAAACCTCAAATCCTATGTATTGGTGAATGTGAGCTCTAGGTCTGGAAAAGGTTTAATTGTGTAATTTGGGCTTTGTTTAAATTTAATTACTGAAAATAATTTTCAAATGAAGACATTCAAATGTTCAATTTATTTTTGTATTAAAATAATTATATATATTTGTTTACCGTCAAATCACAATAAAATAGTAAGATAAGATAATTAAAATGATTAAAATATCATCTTATGGTCCATATCGAGCATTCGATTTACATCGGAACATTCACAACATGTTTCGGTTTATAAAACCGTCATCAGGTGTAAATTATAAACTTTTAAACTCAAATTACAATTATTTATAGTTTTTACAATTTTATAATTTTATCATCTTTCTCAGTATATTTTATGGAAGTTGTGTTTAGATATTATTAATATAACATTATTTGTTGAGGTGGTGTTATTGATGTTTATACCAGTCATATATGAAATAGCAATCGGTTCAGATGTGTTCAGAGGAGAGATCATGAATAACTTCTTTTTGTATGTTTGCAGTGATTCAATACAACTGGTATGTGAAACCATGAAGCGTCAGATAATCTCACGAGCATTTTATGGATGGCTAGCATATTGCCGCCACTTAACAACAGTACGAACACATCTCTCAGGATTAGTGAATCAGAGAATTGTGACTCAGGATGACCCTTGCGATGCTTCTGAAGGACTTACACGTGAAAAGTGGGACAAAATGAATGTTGATGGCATAATTACTGACAAGGCTGAAGTATTTCGTCTCACTTATTATGGTGGCATATGTCATGAACTCAGGAAACAGGTAATTCGTAAGAGTTTGTTGAGTGTGGAAGTCCATTTATTTGCAAATGAAATTGGACTGAAGAAAATATTCATGTATGCTTCATCTGTTTCATTAGGACATTTGTCACAAAAATAATGAAGTGGGTAATCAGTATTTAGCCTAACCATTATGGTGTGAAGGAAACACAAAAAAAAATTCTTTTGAATCCATAACTATATATATCAAATGTGAATAATAGAAAGGGATTCAAACAAAGATAAATTGGGTCTTGTGAAGCATATGGTCCATACTGCCTGTTCTTATCTTCTTTTATAATTCTGCTTGTTGTTTGATATGTTATAAATGTGGTATGTCACATTAAGGGAGGAACATAAGTGGGGTATTTGAGAAGACGGTGCTGTGGAGAATATTTGAACACAAGACAGAGGAAGTAATAGGAAGCTAGAGAAAGTTGTGTTATGAGGAGCTTCATAATTTGTATTCTTAACAAAATATTGTTTTAGCTGATCAAATAAAGAATGGACAGAAAATAACATGTGTGTTTAGATGAGAAGTGCATATAAAATTTGGTTGAAAAGTCTGAAAGGTAGAGACCACTTGGAAGACATAGGTATTGATGGGAGTGTGATATGAAGATGGATCTTCAAGAAGTAGTTTATGAACGTGGGGACTGGATTGGTTTGACGTTGTCGTTCATTGATAGAATCCTGTGAAGACAGTAGTAAACCTTTTGATTCAATGAAAGGTGGGGAATTTCTTGAGTAGCTCAGTGACTGTTAGCTTCTAAAGAGCGACTCTTTTCCATAGAATTTATTCTACCTTTGGTCATGCCATTATTCTTCTTATATAGAAAAGACCCAAATTTAATTGTAAGGTTTTGTCATAAGGAATCAGAATTACTTTAAAGTTTATAAGCATACTTCAATGACATAATTACAAAAGAAAAGCTGAGGAATTATGTGTTCAAAAAAAGCATATATTCCAAATGCAGATAAAATCATTCAGATAAATAAGTAATTACTTATGTAAGTGCTGACAGGATAACTCCTGAACATAACATTTATGATGGTAATTTACAAACTTGCTTAGGAAATATCCACTGTATATTTATTTATTTATTTTTGGTTTATTTAATGATACTGTAACTAGCTCACCCATTAAAGCAAAATGTTTCTAAACATTATTTAAAAATTCAGTTATAATTTCAAATGAATAAAACGTGATGCATATTCATTACTAAGAATTCAGTTAATACTCTCTCAGGAAATAATTGTTATTTATGGTAAGAATCATATAAATCCATAAATATACTGTGTGGGCATAAGGTAGAGTTACTGATTTTTAAAGAATGTGGTACATATAGTTGCCACTATGCTGGTTAATGAATAGTTAATTGGAACAGATATGTGAGGAAGTGGTGGCCTGATATATGACATTATCCTGGCATTTTCCTGTAGCAACTGAGGGAAATCACACAGAAACTTACGGCAGGATAACTGGTCTCTAGGCCAGGATATGAACCTCGGATCTTCTGAATATGAAGCAGTAGTGCTAACAACTTGACCATGATATACATTCACTGCTAAATGTGATTGGTCTTAGTTGATAAAAAAGAAGTTATTTATTTTAGTAAACATTTGTTAGAGAAATACAGTAAGGTAAAAATTACCAATATGAGGTGTGATAATTAAGTTATGCATATATGTTGTATTAAGTAATGAGTGAGCAATAACTAAGGGGCAACGTGTTACATGTCTGTGGTTGCATCTTGTCTGTTGGTGAAGCAAAGAAGGTAGTAGTAGCAGCGAAGCAGTGGCAGAGTTACACAAGCGTCTGTCTTTGCCCTGGCAGAAAAATGAGTGGCAGGTTCTTGGAGCAATGTATTAACATCAAGTTTTGTCCAAAGTTAGGAAGAAGTACAAGTGAATTCTGCAGTTGTCAACAGAGGCATTTGTTACTGATGCTATGAAAACATCAAGTGTCTTTGAGTGACATAAAAGGTTCAAAGAAGGTCGGGAAGACATGAAGACAATGCTTGTTTATTTTTTTATCACAGGGGTATTGTTAACTTTGAGTTTGGTGAACAAAGCCAAACAGTGAAGCATCATTGTTATTTGGAAATATTGGCAAGGTTATGTTTGTGAGGCTGTTTCTTGGAGAAGACCTGAACTTTGGCCTGGTGTTTGGATATTGCTTCATGACAGTGTCCCTACTTATGATGTATTGCTGTCTAGGAGTTTTTGGCGAAAAACCAATATTGAAATTGGACCATCCTACATATTTGCCAGATTTGGCCCCATGTGACTTTTGGCAATTCCAAAAGCTAAAAAAGGGCCATAGACTTTGAAACATTGCTAACATTCAGGGACATGTGATGACCATCCTGAAGAGCATTCCAGAAGAGGAGTTCCATAAATGTTTTGAGGTGTGGAAATACCAATTCACTAAGTGTATGGGAGACTTCTTTGAAGGTGACAGCAACCAATACTGTCCATTCCAGAAACTTAATTGTCACACTTCATACTTAACCTATTGTGTTTATTTTCTGTCTTCTTGTGATAAAATACTTTTTAAATCATCAGTTTTTTTTTCTGTGCGTGTACCAGTCAGTCAGTTTTCTGTTTTATGTCAACAGTACATAGAGAATTTCAGTTAAAGAAGAATTTCCTGGTGCAGAGAGTAAAATCTGTATATCAGTGTAATATTAAATCTTGATGGGATCATGTGGCTCTGGGAATAGTTGGAGTCTTATTCTAAATTTACTTTACTTACTAAATTTACTACTTCTTCATCTACTTGGGTTTGAATCTTGTAAACATAGGTTTAATTCTATAAAACTATGTATTTTCTTTAAAGCATAACAAATCTGCATTTAATGCTCAGTAAATTATGGTGAATGAAAAGTTAGCAAAGATATATACTGATGAAAACTAAACTTCTGATTAAATTATATTAAAACATTTATTTTCAGTTGTGGCCATATCTACTAGGACACTACCAGTTTGGGAGCTCACCAGAGGGCAGGCAAGAATTGGACCTTGCAACACAACAGAGCTATGAAACTACAATGTCAGAGTGGCTGGCTGTGGAAGCTATTGTGAGGCAAAGGGACAAAGAGACGATGGCAGCCAACCTTGCTAAGCTGTCCTCAGAGAGCACAAGCGGAGATGTTCCACCACCCACCCCTGCCATGGCACAGGAACTGAGTAATGATGTCAGTTCCTACTTTTGTGTGTTCTAAGATCATAATATCACTTTTATATTTCAATTGAGGAATTTTGTAACTTCTTGGGATTAATTCATTTTTATAGATTTCCAATCCACATCTTTCACAGCTACGAAGATATTGTTTCTTTCAGTGCAATAATTATTTAGGTGCTGTCAGCATAAAATTCATATTTTGACCATAAAACCTGAAAGAATGAGACCATTTTGGAGACCTAGGCATGTATGGTATGATAATACTAAAGTGAATGTTAATAAAGTTCCTTGTGGGTAATTTTTGACTAGTTGATCGGATATTTGCTTCTCTTAAAGTTAAATGGAATTAAATAGGTGAATTTGTTTAATTTTAAAATCATTATATTATACCCACGTAAAGACAATTCAAATTTCCTGCCTTCCTTGCTTACTGTTAGTATATATCTGTGATATAGCACACTTAAATATTGATGTATTAAAAAAACTTCCTTGTTGTAAGAATATTACTGTGGAAGAAAGTTAAAAATACTGGACATTTAGTTTAGTGCCTTTTGACCATTTATTAAACATATTCATCTGGCTGCATATTGTGAAGATTCTGAGTATAATTTATTTCCTTTGTGTGGGATACCAGTTCACAGCTAAGTAAGTCAGATGGTGGGAATGCCACCTTGAAGCACTTACCTGCTTGATTTTAAGTCAGGATTGTCTACCTTAGGAAGTTATCTTCACTACATCTTACGAAATCATCCATCCTGGATTTTAATTCGTTTTCCTTCTCCTAGATATTTACCAGTAATTAACATATTGGGTCAATGTGCCAGGGAAATTTATCAGCCTACCAGTTCTAGATCTGCCATGTTTTGTAAAAGCAGGACCACCTTGGTAGGTTGTGGTTCTCCAGCATGTATGGAAGTGTCCTCAGTGGTAAAGGTCTTTCATACTACCTCAGCTCAACCCTGGGTAGAGCAGGCACCAATGCTGAGTTTGATCCATACAAAGATATTACCTCTGCTATACCCTTGACCCCATTAAATGTGTTCACATAGTTAATTTATTGGCATTATTTTTTGTGTTGTGTAAGGAGAAAACAATATTAACTGGTATATATGCATGGAACAGCATTTAGCAGAATAAATTCTTATAGACACATGTAGAGGGAATGTTCTTCCTCATTTCAGTGTACCTGAACACAGGTTATTATAAATTAACATAAGAAATTTCCAAAGTTTATAATTTAGTACTCTAGAGATTTTAAGTCTAGCTTTTTTTTAACTGCAGGTATTTGAAGACAACTTGAGTCTGCTTTCTGACGAGAATGATTCTGTGGATGAAGAAGAAACTACAAATCATAATGGCAAGACTGAATATGGTGATCAAGAAGAAGAGTACTTTGTTCGTTGTCCTCCCAATTCTTTAGAAAACAACCAAACAGATGTTGAGGAACAGCAATTCCCTGCAGAATGTAGTAGTAGTCCAAGTGACTGTGGAAAAAATGGTAAAGTTATCTCATGCAGTCTGTGTATACAAGTTTGAGTGTGTTAGTTTGCATTAATAGCTTTCAGACAACTCAGGTTAAGATTCAGTGGTGGGCTCTTGTGAACATAATAATGAGCCTTCAGGTTTTATAAAAGATTGGTAGTTTCTTGATTTACTGAGTGACTGTCTGCTTCTCCAGGATTCTATTCTATGAAGAAAATGTGTTTACTGGCCTTTACTCTGTCTCTCTGCTTTCATGAGACAGGGATACTCCACATTAACTGATTCTGGCAGAGGTGGAAAACAGATATTCTATTAATCCTTTATTCAAATTTTTTTTTGCCATTAGGTGGACACTAGGGAATGAGGTTTCATCTTTTATACAATTTAAATAAATGTAATCAAATTTAAGATTTGAGGTTCTCATGGCAGTGAGCATGGAGATGGCTGTCCTTTTTGTTGTAGTGCCATGTAATTTGGTAGAATTTTACTGACATTTCACAGGTACAGCTGACACATTGGTAAAATTTACCATGCTACTTGGCACTACAACACAGAAGACAGCAATCTTCATAATCAAATTCTGTTTCTCAGTGAACTTCTACCAGACTATAATAATCTTATTTAACATTCTCATTATGCAAAAGATCTTGGAGATCTGTTGGACCGTCAGCTCTGTTCCCATAACCACCTTGACTGCATAATTTCTGACAGTTTGAAAATGTTGAGTTGATTCATTATATTGTTCTTCTTTAAAGTTGTTGTGGATGGATTTGATATATCAGATAATGCTTGAACTTTTGAAACTTCAAACCACATTGTTGTGGTGAGAAAGTAGCATAGAAATATACTAGTCATTCAAACTATTCAGCCTTTTTTAATAGAATTTGTACCTGTGAGTAGAAAAATTAGTATTTTTATAGTTTGATTTGTATATTTAATAATGAATGATTTTGTGGTATAGCACATTCTTTGTTACTTATAAATTCCATATTATAATATATAATAAAGGGACGCTGTTAGTGTCTGTTACTCTTTAGTATCGATATTAATTGTTTTACCTTTTATTGCTATACTACATGGTAAAATTAATTGTTATAGTTGCACATTTTAATTTTCTGTTGAATGTTTGAAGTTTATAATTTATGCTACTCTTTCCTAGTGTTTGCCTTTGATTTTAAAAGTTTTGATGGCTCTACAGATAAATGAATGCCATTTGGTGCACTGTTTTTGACTTGATTTGAAACCAGTGCACGAAATAGAATGAACATAAAATCCCTTTATTCTATTAAAATTTTGATATACAATATTTGAGAGTTAGGTCACACAGAAACCCTCACTAGTTTTTTTTATTAAGTGCCAGAATCAGCGTACCTACATCACATGAGTTGTACACCATATGCACAATGAGGGAACAACATGTATATGAAAGACAGACCTCGGCAGTTGTAGTGACACAGTAGCATGTGTACGGAAGTCCATAGTTTATTGATTTGAATTGTAACAATATTTTTGGATTTAGTATGAATAACATGCAGCAAGTCACTGTAAGTATAACTAGTGCAGTGACATCACACTGAATTAGTACACCAGTAAATTCTTGTGGGGAAGATTTTTAATGTTTTAAAATTTGTAAACATTATGACTGGATCTAACCTTCCCAGTGAATGGTTTGAAAAAAGTGTTATTGTTAATAGATTTCCGTCTTCTGGGTTATTGCGCTGTGTAGTCTACACAGCGCAATAACCCAGAAGATGGAAATCTTCATACTCACCGCTGTGAAAACCTCAAATCTTACGTGTTATTGTTAATAATCCAACTGCAACCAGAAATACCATAGTAAAACTACACGTTGAACCAAATGATTAAGCACTGAAAATTAACACTGAAGATCGCCCTACGGGTGCAAAAAGCTTATATTAGTATAAACTAGTGACTAATACATAAAAGTGGTTGGTCTATATATTGATGAATTTACAGCTACATGGTATGAAAGGTTAGAAGAACAAAATACTTGGTTTTCAGCAATGAAGTAAAATTATCTGCACAATTTGTTCATATGAAATACCCTCCCATTTAGTATATCACAGATCTAATACTTTCAAACTCTAACCCAGCAGTGAATGCTTGTAATTGTTGGTTTTTTGTATTAAGCTTTGTTTAGGCCTGTATAATTTAATTTGTTACATACATTGCTTTTGTCATAAAATAGACTACTCTCAAAACGGAGAATAAACTTGTTCCAGTACTGCATTTTTGCAACTTAAACTGAATATTACATTACATTTTATAACTGTAGCTGTCATGTGTCATGCTCAATACTAAGGCATGCTGCATTAGAATATAGTGCACAGTATTTTCTCACCAATAAAATCAAATTTAAAAGCTGATTGAAGAAAATTTTCCTTTAACAATTTCAGGTCATCCAAACAGCAAGTCTTCTGCAGAAAAACAAAATGGAATTCATATGAAGTTAAATGGGACTTGTGATGACAGAATCAGAAAAGGAGAACAAATCCTCAATGGAATTGTTGAAGAAGATGAAACAACTACCATTCCATGCTCACAAAGTTCAAAAGAGAACCACAGTCCAGACAAACATTTCAGTAACACTCTTGCTGAGAGTGTTAGCAAGTTGGTCAATGGTTACACTTCACAAATACTAGAGGAAAATTACCAGGTAAAGCATTGCAGTTTTCATAGAATTAATTGTCATACTTTCATTTCAAAATATGGTACACATTACTATAATATGTATGGGACAAACTATCTGTTTCTCTGATAACAGAATGTAAGTAATTAAAAATTACTGTTTTCAGTACCCTCTGTTATTCATTGTCCACAGCCAGTTCAATCCCCACAACCTTTGTCCCTGAAATCTCTTTCTAATATTATCCTCCATCTGAGCTATATCCCTCCTTGATTTGACTGTGCCAACAATGTCAGGTGACCTTTAATTCAAACGGGTTCTTCCTACATAATATACTCCACTCTCTACTTTCTTAATCTGTCTTAACTAAATTGCTAAGTTCTATTAATTGTAACTGTATGTTCAGGAAATTAAGTCATCATCTCCAGATGAAGGGGTGGTTGAAGATGAAGATGTAGAAACAAAAATCAATAACGGCCATGCTGGAAACAAGCAATCAGTACAAAAGAAAACACAGAAAAGCAGTAAGTAGAAGTATGTGATGCTTTTGTATGATGTTGTATATGAAACCAAAATCGTTCTATCAGATGACTTATATATAGCAGAGATTCTCAAGTACTGCTACCAGCTGTTTTCATGAAAAATACAACAGTTAAGAAATAATCAGATTTAAGATTCAAGCAAGTGCATATCAGTCTTGGGATACCTTTCTCAATATTCTATGAGGAAACTCGCCCAAATATTTCTACATAAATCGAATGACTGAAGCTTCTTGTATATTTTTAAACAACTACATTAGAAAGCTAATTTCTTTAATTAAAATGGCCCTTAAAAATTAATACTTGAGAACAACTGTGATAGGGTAAGAAAAGATAAATAAACTATTTCTCTTTTATTTAATAAATTTACTAGTTTAACTTCATTTCCATCATTGTCTGTTGTGGGTGACAGACCTAAGGCAAGTTTTACCCAGCATTATGTGGTTTAGATTACATGGCACAAGGTTCTGTTTTAAATTATACTGCCTTATTCTGTGATGAATTGAGATAGGAGAACTTGTTGAACATATGTGAGATTTCATGTTCCCATGGTGGCAGGTATGAAGATGACTATCTTCTGGGTTGTGTTGTTATTCTGGTAGAGGTTTACCAGTGTTTGAGATGTATTTGCTGCCTCCATCCATCATTCACCATCATTGCCTTAATGACAGAGGCAGAAAGAACCTCTGAGCACAACAACCCAGAGGACAGTCATCTTTATTTTTGAACATAGTATCATTTTTGACTTCTGTATTAGATGCATATTCTTTCTGTCTTCACATCCTTAAAACATATGCCAGCATGAATTCTTGGAATATAAACAGTTGACTAAAGGCTTCACATAAAAGAAGAGAAACAATTATGAGTTATGGCATATAGTAAAATGTTGATGAAAATGTACTGCTAGTGAAACTGTAGACAGAGACGTTTCTAAAGCTCAAGTAGGTCACTGAAAACTGATTTCACATCTGAAAGTGAAACATACCTTTACCATGTGATAGACCATGTCCTTGGCTCAAATTATCTGTGAGCTCTATGACCTTTTTCTCCACATGACCACAAAGCAAACATATGCATGTCAGTATTTAGATACAAACAATACCTAGGCTTAAGGCACAGAAATGTTTATGGAATAAATAGGGGTTATGTTTGAAACTTAAATATCTGGAAAAAGATTACATGTCAACAAAAGGGAGTCCACATACTCCATGAATGTGACAATAGGCTGGCTATACAATATACAGTACATTTTGGACATGCTAACAAATACATTTCAATATTTTTATACGTAGACAAAGCGATGGTTGCTTGGAAGTATCACATGAGATTTTGTGTCTACATATTTGACATACCATATACACAGTATCAACCAGTGAAGTCGCTGGTACTTAATGTGAAGAGCAGTCTTTTATTGTATGAAGGCTACTGTCTGTGTATTTCAAGTAACGCTGACTTAAGTGACATTTTTCTGTAACGTAATACGTGTATGTGTGTGTGTGTTGGGGGGGGGGGCATTCAGGCCAGACACAGGGTTCCCAAAGGAACTGAAAAATGAGGCACACAAAATAAGGATGGGAAAGACTGTTTTGTTCAAAGGGGATTTGTCCTCATCTAAATGTGATCAGGCAGAAGATGTGAAATTTGTCTCACCATCAAAGCAGCCAAATAGTCACTTAATTCTGAAGGTTTGTAATGATGGTGCATTATTGAAGGAAACTACGTTCTGGACATTATCCATCGTCCCAGATGTAATAAAAAATGACATTTCAGATATTGGAATCTTTCTCCGTCTTCATGTAAAATCTACTCTGTTGGGCCCAAGTGCTGGAGCCAGTCCCTATCAGTTCATAATCTTATATGTAAAATTGAAATTGTTGGTGTGTTATATTCACTTCTAGCTTGAGAACAGATGAATCAGTTTGCACCAAACTTAGCATGCTTATTCATTGAGATAAGAAGAGATTTTAGAAAGGTCAGAACTCTGAAATATGTCCTGAGTTTGAGTCCTGGTGAGGGTGGTTCCCATGTCTTGTAAACTAAGCATGATAGAAGAATGATGCCAAGACCAAAGTCATTTATTTTAAAGAGGAGATTACAGAAACAAAGGCCAGAACTCCAAGAACCTGTCCTGTATTCGAGTCCCAGTGGAGATGGTTTCTGTAGTTTAAAACCTAAGCACAATAAAAGTACAGCAACATGATTACAGGAACAAATGCCACAACCCAGAAGAAGTTATCCTGGGTTTGAGTCTTGGTGAAGACGTTTTCTGCACTTTGGAAACTAATGATGGTAGAAGAATATGGATAAGAATAGCATCATATGTTTGGGGAAGGAGACTGCAGGGACAAGTGCCACAACCCTGAGAAAAGTGTCCTGGTTTCAAGTTTCTGTTTGGACACATATTCTTGGGTTTAGGGATTATAAGTTTTTTATGATATTCAATGATTCGACTATAGGCCTATATGTTTGGTAAATCAGGCCTACGATAATCTTTGGGGCAAAGAAGGTTTGTAAGAAAACATTAACATTTCTTAATTTTCTCTGCAGTAACACTATGAACATTCTGCTACTTATCACAGGAAACAGATATCCCTTTCAGCATGTAAAGTTCAATAGTAACTATATGACAGTAGTGTTTAATAAAAATTGAAGTCTTGAAATTTTATTTTTTGAGTGGGGGTTTATCTAATGTTTTATATTCTGCTGGATTTTTCTTCTAGACACTATATGACATGATTTTGAAACATTTGGTACAATTTCAGGGTCATCACACAAAGGTCAGGCACCATCAGCTGCAGTAATTGTAACTACGAACCCATCGGTAGACAGTGGTAACCAGTCTGACCCATATGTTGAACAATCATGTGAGTCACTGCATAACTTAGTTTTCTTTAGCTGGGCAGAATTAATAACATAAACCGAAAGTTCAAAGTTAATAAATTGTTACAAAATTTTAACCTTAAATTAAGGTTTTGAGCAGTGGAATGTCTCTAGTCAGACAATTAAAAATTCATTGATATACTGACTTTACTGTATGAAGCCAAAGAGAATATTTTAATAGACTATTATCTAGCCTAATGGGGGCAGTAAAAATGTCTGTATACTGGCCTATGCTTCTGATAACAAATTCTGCGCTACTACATTGCCCAAGTAAACGTTTAAGCATGCCACTTGAGTGAACTTTAAAATGACAAAATACCTGAATTTGGACAGTTATCTAATTTTAATAAAAAATGGTGGCTTATGTTAAATTATAAAAAACTTTAAAGGATACTGATGATGGTGTGTTACAATCAGGATCACAAAATTTTTGGACTATGTTCATTGTCTGTGATTGATGTTAGCTCTTTGATAAAAATTATATGAAGAAATAAGTAATTAAATTATTTCAATGCTTTCTGTAGGAGCTTTGGCTGTGGAGGTACACAGCAGTTTAAATACTACATTAGAATTAGTAGGATTTGAGGTTCTCTTGACTGTGTGTAGAAAGATAGCTGTCTTCTGGGTTTTAGCACCATGATTGTGGAGGCACCAAGGTTCTCTGAAATGTTGCTAAATTCCTACTAGACTACATGGTGCTACAACACAGAAGACAGCCATCTTCTTATTATAAAATAAACTAGTTCTGATTCTGCAACAGAGTTTAAATATACTAGTGCCAAACAATGTTTAAAGAAGTCAACAGTCTCATCTCATACAGGAATTAACACTTTGATGAAAGACTCCTGGGTTACAAGCTGCTTCAGGGCTGCTTGGTAACCAGTCCAATCTGTTGTTACGGATCGGACTGGTTACCAAGCAGCTGTGAGGATGAGAGCAGAGATTGTTCTCGAAACGTTGGCATAAGATATGGTTTATTCACCATTTAGCCACCTGATGCAGCTTGTAACGCGGGGGTCTTTCATCAACTTCAGTCACCACAAAAGCTTCACTTTATACATAAGAATTAATACTCTTCTGAAATTTGAAATGGTAGAAACTTTTGCATAGTTTTTTCTGAAAACGACAATTTATCTTATTTTACTCGGTAATTATCTCATTCTTGAGAACTCATTCATCATAAGATTAAATACAAATCTTATTTTTATTTATAAAAATTAATTTTATGTTAAATTTTATTTGTAGTAATCTACATACTAATTATGTTTTGACATCTGTTTTTCATAACATCAATGTGTTTCATTACAAATTTTGTCTGTAAATAACACGTGCTATATTATTTCCTTTAATGTGTTCTCTTCCAAAAAGAAATGTTGTTATACTGTGGAGGAAGCAACTTGTACTTCCAATGGTTTTTCTGTAGGAAACCATGCATTTAAGAATAGGAAGTCTTCTTTTCACTTGTCCAAAAACAACATTCCATGGTATATCTGTCTGTTGAATGCTATGTGTCTAATTTCAGAATTTCTCCATATCCTTGAATCATGTACTAATCCAGGCCAAACATCATCTTTGCTAATAAACATTTATTTTGTGGTACATATTGCTTTAAAACTGTTAAAAATTCTTTGTGTTCACATATTTGTCACTGTGAACACATGGTTTCATATGTGTGCACTTTAATATATCATCATCATCATAATCATCTTCATCATTACCCTAATGATGGAAGTAGCAAGGACCTTTGAAATATCAGTTAACTTCTACCTGACTACATGGTACAACAACCTAGAAGACAGTCATCTTCAAACTCACCACCATGAAAACCTCAAATTCTGTATCTTGCCTTACTTTTATGAATGAATACATAAAGAAGTTCCTGAAGAAACATTTTACATATTATTTATTTATGAAACTTTAGGTCTTGAATGTGTTTCTAATACATTTCATATTTGTATTAGTGATTCACTGTTTATGACTAAAATATATACATAAAATAAAGGAGAGTAGTCATCTGTTTTTGTTATATTTAATGAATTATGAAAAGTTGCATTATAAAATACAAATAATGTAAATACGTTTAATATTCTTCTCTTCTAGCATTGTTTCAGTTGTACAGAGGTCATTGGTTTTGCTTTCTTATAGGGGCAAAGTATTTATCTGGGATAAGACTGTACAAAAGACAGAAAAGTAGCCCACTTTCAGTAATTAAAAATGTATGCACATGTAATGTGCAGTTCTGTATGAAGTGCATAGTAAAATCTTGAGGATGGTCAAGGATATGTATGAACAAAGGTTAAAAAATACATTGGCTTTATAGTGTTGATTCTGTGATACAGGTGATAGGGTGTTGACACCACATGACGAGGAGAAGGAAGGACTAGACACCCTTGCAGTCACAGAAGAGACTGCTGAGGGAAATAGTCAGGGCTGTCGCTCAACATGTATCTCCCCAGCAAGCTCACAGGGTGGAGTGTACTCGGTATGTTCAACATAAGTTCCTGAATATCGTCTAATTAAGTGAGAGAATGCCCAAAGGAAGATAAAAAACTGAAAATTACTGCATGCTCTTTTTCTGTTTAATTATTTTTACTGTTCTTTGGACTATATATCTGTTTTGTATAAGACAGTAGTTTACTTAAAATAATTTATGAACTATGATTGTCCAGTCATAAAAGTGACTAGCTACAGGTTACAGGCTGGAGTCCAGATCCTAACAGGGGCTTTTGGATTTTTCTTTTCACGATCACTGAAATTGGCTCTTGAACCCATCAGCCTTCCAGTCAGTGGGTACTGTGCGCCCTTTCTCTGGAGTTAAGTGACTACAGCATGTTTGGTTGCCAAGTTTCAGAATGCATGGGACCTCTACACTTTATGTCTACAATCATGATACATATATAGAAACACTAGCAACACTTCACTATTGTAACTATTATTGATACTGCAGTTGAAAACCAGATGGAATTAAATTAGTGTATTTTAAACTTCACACATGTTTATGTCTGGCATGAACAAATTGTCCATGCCTATGCCTTTGATGCGGTAAGGAAGAAGTATATTTAATTATTACATGGCAGCAAATATCATGGGCTGAAATATTATTCTTTGCTGTATTAAAAACTTACAAGCTACAGCTGTTTTCTAAAATGTGAATTTTAAGAAAATTTTACAACTGTAGAGTATGCTTTCCTTTAACCCTTAAAGCCTAGTAATAACTGTATGTACCACTTGCTTTAACAATCAGTAATTCTGCGTTTTGCTCACAAGGTGTATTTATTGGTTTCTTATGATCAGTAATTCTGCGTTTTGCACACAAGGTGTATTTATTGGTTTCTTATGATTCTCAGAGTAAACAGCTATTATTTCCGTAAGCAGCATTAATGGTTATGGGTTGGGATTTCTTTATGATATGGGCTACATGTTGACGACAAACTTCAGTTATTACCACAACAAAACTAATGCTGTAAGATGTAAGTGTGGATTTCACATCTACTTCACCCGTTGAAGCCTGATGGAATGTCTGTGAATATAATGAAACATTTCAATTCTAGTTTGCGAGTGGCCTCTAATTTCCATTACCATGAATTTTTTTCAACCTTTACTTTACTACAGATGGAGCTGCTTGAAATATTTGGCTTGAACCTTCATCGCATAGATAAGGATGTCCAGCGTTGTGATCGCAATTATTGGTACTTCACAACTGAGAATCTTGACAAATTGCGCAATGTCATGTGCACGTAAGTTTTTACATGTGTGTTAATATTAAGTTACTACCGAATGAAATTATATTGCCATGTATGGAAGAGGAGGCCAAGGCCTAAACAGGCTGAAGTGCCGGGCGCGGGGGGGGGGGGGAGAGGAACATGTATGGATGTTAGTGTAAACATGTGTAAGTTCTGACAGATAGTTCTCAGAAAGTGAAAAGCAATTTTGTCAAGTTCTAACAAATCACTGTACAGAATTTATAAAAAAAATATAAACATGAACTTAAAGCTGAAGTGGTACCAAAATTAAAGTACAAATAATTTGAAATATAAAGTAACAATCATATTTCAGTTGTAGTTTTTGAACTTATACTCCTTTTTTCTGGTCCTGGCAAGTTGTATTACATATTCTTCAGTCAGTAAGTGCTAAGGCAAGTAAGTGCTCAGTAGCAGCATAATTCGGCAAGAAGATATCAAAACCTAACAGTAATTGATTTTAATTTTGAAGGTGTTGGGATCAATTTTATGTAATGGAAATAAAATTCATTAACTTTCCAATTATAACAGCAAATCATGCATTTTATGCACATACTAAATATCTTGGTTATAATGATTGTTCATTTATTTCTGCATTTTGCAGTTTCTCTCTATGCATATGTATAAGCCAACATTCCATTCAGTAATTCTTCTCCTATTGTAGTTCTACTTAAATATGTTTCAATGCAATATAATGTTAAAACAATAGCTCTTGTGTTGCTGCCACTGTCATAAGATTCATTCATTTAGAGGCAACTGTCTTTCTGTTATTTAAGGAATAAATATATCATTATTCTAATAATATTTTATATTGTGCTTTTAATAGAGTTAGATTTTCCTTTTACTTATTTCTACATGATTTTTAACTTTGGATTGACTGACAGCCAAAAAGGATTATAAGTCCCAGTAACAGGTGTTTGAGTGCTGGTAGCACCATGGAAACTTAAAATTCAGTGTGCCTTTTCTGTTTGTTAAAAATATACAGTTTGGGAAAGTAGAAGTGGAAGCATTGAAGAAGGAATTGGTGGCATTAGTTTTGACATGAACCTAACATGACGTGTTATTGTATTTTTCAGGTATGTCTGGGAACACCTAGATGTGGGCTATATGCAAGGAATGTGTGACTTGGTTGCACCACTTCTTGTTATATTTGATGATGAGGGTACAACTTACTCATGTTTTTGCCATCTCATGGAGAGAATGGGTTCCAATTTTCCTAATGGTGGAACGATGGATATTCATTTTGCTAATATGAGGTACCTACTTATATGATACAAAGTTCAAGGTTTGGTATGTCACATCTCTGTTACAACTTTATTTACATTGGAATAGATCATAATTCAACATAAAATCATAGAGGTGGTAAGAGAATACATTTCTTGATTTTGTCCATATGTTATTAGATGATTTATGGCATTAATTTTCCGCGACAACTTCTTATAAATCGATCCCAATCGAAAAATGTTCTGTTTCATGTTTATAATTATCCATCTTTATTATTATGTAATTTATTTTACATATATTCGTTATTTGAAATAAATTAAAATGTAATATCTCCTACTGTTTCATCCAAAATTTATTAACTATGTGTAAACATTTAAACTTAAAGATACTTATTTATCTTTGTACATGTAAAAATACATAGTGTGTTAATAAAAGTAAAGGGGAGGTACACGTGTTTTGCTGCAAAATGGTTGTGTTGTTTTCCAATTCCATTTAGTAGATCTTGTCTGTCCTCAGTCTGCTCGATCATAATAAAGAAAATGAAAACTGAGACAGAGCAGAAAACAAGATTAACAATTATTTATATCATTATGGTTATAATTATAATATGAGGTGAAAATTTCGTGGCACACCTAGATGACCTCCACAGAACACCAATTGTGCATCACTGGGCTAGAGGCAACTCTTGTCTGCTGCTCTTCACAGATTTCTGAAAAGGCAATCTGAAAGACATACATGTTTTAGGTATCAGACGTCCTCCAGGTACTTGGCTGATTGAGGTATCATGGAAATGACTTCATAAAATTAAAAAGAGAGTAGAATACTCTATATCTTATTAAAAAGAACTAGGCCAGATTATTTAAAGTGTATCTAAGATAATGTTTTAATAAAATTTATACAAACATCTTTGCTGGTCTCAGATTAAAGGAAATTTGTTAAAATACATTTTGTATACTTATTTAATTACAGGTCTCTGATTCAAATCCTGGACTCAGAAATGTTTGAACTTATGCATCAGAATGGTGATTACACACATTTCTACTTTTGTTACCGTTGGTTCTTACTGGACTTCAAACGTGGTTAGTAAGATCACTCTCTTTGTACTCTTTTCATTTAGTGTTGTGTGAGAGAAAATAGCATGCATCTTGTGGTGCTTCCTGTCTTGGTAATGGCATTGAGGAAAAAATATTTTAGGATAAAGCTTGTTGTGATATTTATATATATATACTCATTATGAAGGAAAGAACAGTTATTTTATTTACTTATTACTGTAGTTACTGTCATGCCACATTTGTCTTTTACCCCTGAAAGAATTGGTGGATTTTTATTAAAATTTGATAAGAGGAACTCTTACTAAAACAAATAGAATATAATATGAATATTGCTATATTGATGAAGTTAGACATTAGCCATTATAATGGAGCATAATATTTATTGAGATCTGGAGAGTCATTCAGCTTGTCAGGAAATCCCCTTGCTTCTGTGGAACCCAACAGTGCATGAAGTTGGTGGTCTTCTGGGTTGCAGTACCATGTAACCTTGTAGAAGTTTACTGACATTTCATAGGTACTTGCTGCCTCCATCATTGGGGTGATGAGTAAGCGACACGTGAGAAATCATTGTGAGATATAAAAACCAGTCAGTCAAAGCAGAACCTTTATCTCAGACTGATTTTTTGCTTGCAGCTTACTCAGAGTCCTGGTAATGGAGGCAGCAAAATATGACAAAAACAAGATATCTGGTTAATTTAAATGTCGGTTAGTTGGAATGACTGAAGAAGAGACTGAAAATGTATTGCAGGAGGCACACAGGAAAATGTGATGTTATATACTTTGATTTAGTTTCTCTCATAGATGACTGCAAAAAGCAGTTGGAATTATAAACAGTCAGTAAATGGTAGTGGAAACCACTATAAATTTGATCTACTTTTTAAGTTAATTATAAATTATAATTTTCATTTGTTACTGTTGTTCACACTTATTCTATCTTTGCCATATATTCCATCATACTGATGACTTGACTGTTTTTTATTTGCTTGTTGATCCTTGTATGTAGTATAAATTTCTAACTGCTGAAAAATATAATTAAACTATACAGAGTGAGCACAAAAGAACTTTACGTTTTCAAAAATGATACAGACCAGTGTGGTCACCCCAGGGCCTCCATAAAAAACAAGTTTTTTATGTCAAAAAGCGTCCAGTTAATCATAACTGGAAACCGATTATGTAATACTTATTTATCTTTAATTATTGTTTATTTATAAGAAGAGTATAATACATTCCCTCAAATCGAAAAACTCAACAGTTTTTTTATGAAATAACAAGTAAAATTCTGAAAGCTTATTTAGCTTTAATTAGTTGCCCACATTTGTAATCACTCATTTTTCACAGGAATTTTCCTGGACCATTTTAAAATGTCAGTAGTAAAATCACTGTATGAGAGGTAACAAAACTAGTATGACAATCTACAGGTCAAATTCACTATCAACTACGTTTTCTAAAATCTTGATAAGGTTATGTACAGTAGGTTAAGTTATATGTGCATATTAACAACATTGGCTTCAGGAAAATTATATCCACTGAAAATATGACCTTCAAGCTAACAATGCGTCAAAATCTGTTAACCAAAAAATTGCATGTTGAGTGAATTTTCTTTGATTTAGCAAAAGATTTTAAGTGTGTAAATCTTGAAATTTTGTTAATTAAATTACATTTTTGTTGCATTCAGAAAATAGCTGCAAAATGGCTAAGATCCTATCTAAGAGAAAATAAAAGGTCAAAATAAAATCACCTAGCAACATTCAGAATTTTTTCTTAAACTGGGGAACAATGAAACATGCAGTTCCCCAGTGATCAGTTCCAGGGCCATTGCTTTTCGTAATATACATAAATGACCTTCCTCCAAAAATAAATACATAATCAGAACCCATCATATTTGGTGATGAAACAAGTGTCATAATTTCTAGTAAAAATTTTGATAATTTCTGTGCTGTGTCAAACACAGTTCTCTCTCATGTGAGTAAATGGTTTACTGCTAACAGGCTAGCCATAAATCTAGATAAAACAAATAATAAAATTTTTAATAACTCACCACAGTATGCTTTTAGTATTATTTATAATGGGAAATATGTAGAAGAGTCAGTAAATATGAAATTCCTGGGTTTGCAAATTCATGACCACTTAAATTGGATAAATCACATTGATAATCTTATACCAAAGTTAAGTGGACCATGTTATGCAGTTATATCTTTGTTTCATGTCAGCAAAACTGTTAAACTCAAATAAGTTTATTTTGTTTATTTTCACTCTGTAGTGAAGTATGGAATTATTTTTGGGGGGTAATTCATCTAACAGCAAAAGTATATTCACTTTAAAAAGAAAAATATTTGAATAATGGCTGGTTTCAGACTTAGAAATCCATGTAGACATATATTTAAGAGATCAGAAATGTTAGTTCTGCAATGTGAATATAGTATATTCTCATTAGTGAACTTCATTGTAAATAACAAATAAATTTTTCAAACCAGTTGGTCTATGCACACTGTCAACACAAGGAATAAGAATAAGCTCTATAGACCAACTGCAAACCTCAAAATTTTCAACAGTTTACCCTCTAATCTCATGAGTCTTATAAATAAAAAGTCACAGTTTAAAGTAGCAGTAAAGAATACTTAGTTAAACATTCCTCTTATTCTGTTGATGACTGTTTAATGTTTAAAAATAAACCTTTATAACAGTTTGAATTGTACTTCTATGTACTTCTTATTTCACATCCTGTTGTCATCTGACCAACTTAAGGATCCATGGAATGGAATGTATGTGTGCATGCGCACGTGTACTTTCATGTAGGTATGTATTTTATACCCATTTAGTTTTGTTGTAGTCACTGTATTAATATTTTTCTCCTTGTCATGCTCACATTTTTTTAAATAGGAGATGATTTGAAACCACAGACCATTGGCATCATGTAAAATGGAACATGAGATTATTGTGTGTTAATGTGGAATTTGTGAATTTTGTTTGTGAATACAAAAAATGATGCTGTAACCTATTTGTGTTTGCTTGATTCAGAGTTGCTGTATGAAGATGTGTTCAGTATGTGGGAGACAATATGGGCAGCCAAGCATATGGCTTCAAGCCACTTTGTCCTCTTCATTGCCCTGGCACTGGTTGAGTCTTACAGAGACATTATTCTCAACAACAGCATGGACTTCACTGATATAATCAAATTCTTCAACGGTTTGTACCAAAATTTAAGTCTGTTACAGTAATTTTTTTGTTACACATGTTCAGTGCATTTATGTGAGCCTTAAATTGGAATATGTTGTTGCTTTGTTTATCATTTTGTTTACAGAAATTAATAATAATTAAATCATCTTGATAAAATGTTTTGAAAGGAAGTCACTGCTAATTATTAATATTTCAGACATTGGCTGTTAAAAACAGAGATACACTGATGGATAAAAGAACATGAGATAGGGTGGCGCACAAAATGTTTACCCTTTTAAATCCTGTACAAAATCTATGTTTCTTACAAAAATGTTGTATGTCACATACACACTAAAGGACACAAGCATGGAAAGTTGTTGTTCGTGCAGAAAGTGTTCAATATGACACCCATTCTGCCTCATCATCTCTTCTAGACGAATTTGTACATTTGTGATCACCTTATGACACAAGTCTTCTGAAAGTGTGTGGCACAGCTGGATGATCATGGCTCTGAATTCCATTTATGAACCACATTTCTTTGAGTACAGTTTGTCCTTCATGAAGCTCCACAGAAAGAAATCACATGGATTAATGTCTGGGGTGGCCAGACCTGTCCACAATCATGGCATTCAGGAAAACGATGAGAAATCACTGTGGGACCAAAGCTTTCATACAGAAAATGAAGGACCACATTAGCTGTGTGTGGCATGGCTCCATCTTACATAAACCATTGGGTTTTGATGAAAGCTTTGTCCGAGAGAGATTTCTCATTGTTTTCCTGGATGCCATGATTGTGGACAGGTCTGGCCACCCCACAACCCAGATATTAATCCATGTGATTTCTTTCTGTGGGGCTTCATGAAGGACAAACTGTACTCAAGGAAGAATGGTTCACTAATGGAACTCAGAGCCATTGATCATCCAGCTGTGCCACACACTTTCAGAAGACTTGTGTCATAAGGTGATAACACGTACAAGTTTGTCTAGAAGAGGTGATGAGTCAGAATGGGAGTCGTATTGAACACATTCTGCACCAAAAGCAACTTTCCATACTTGTATCCTTTAGTGTGTCTGTGACATGCAACATTTTTGAAAGAAATATAGATTTTGTGCAGGATTTGAAAGGGTAAACATTTTGTGTACCACTATGTACTTTGTGGTTACCATAATTTGTTTTATAATTTCATTGAACAAGCACACAGTGGCATTGTGTATTTTAGGGTTCTAAAGAACTACAACTTATTATAATTCTACTGATAGATTTAACAAGTAACTCTGAAAATTATGTGTGCCAAGTTTTTACTACAACAGCAAAAATCTTCATATCCTTTAATTATATTGAAGAGGAGCCTGATGATGGTCATACAGTAGGCTGAAATATGTTGCTCCATAATGTATAAAAGCCACAATATTTTATATGATTATCATGTTAATATGTTGTGGTTTAGTAAAAAATGGCACTAATGGAAGTTGCATATTTTTAAACCATTTATTACTCCATAAAACTGCAGCGAATCATGCTATTCTGACCCTACAAGTTTGCATGTTCTCTATGCTGGCACTGTTGTTGTTAGGAAGTTAAAATGACCAAGTTGGGAGTATATGGGATTAAAGAATATTCATACAGAGTTTCACAAAAATAAATCTGTTTACAGTATTGATGTCTGTAATTGAACTGAGCAGATATGTGGATGCATATTTACAAAGTTCTGTTCTTTCTTTGTTAACCATGATAAGTCATATAGTGAAGAGAGAATGTTTTGTGTAACCCCTGATCTTATCTGACAATGTGGAACTTTTTCAGAGATGGCTGAAAGGCATGATGCAAAAGCAATTCTGTCACTTGCCAGAGAACTGGTGCTACAGCTTCAGACTCTCATCGAAAATACATAAATCTTGTGGTGGTACTTTTTACTTATAGCCAGATGCTTGAGAGATTATCCCTATTTTTGTGAAGGAAAGATAATATTATAATTATAATATTAATATATTGTATTGTTGAAAGTGAATGTATTATAAATACCTCTACATACTGGTACAAAATTAAGTATCAAATCAATCACAGTATTCAAGTGTTAATGAAGTAATCTGAGACTTTCACTGCTGAACTAACATAAATTCCGGCCCTAATTTTAATAGGGTTCTTATTATATGTAAATTAATTAATTGTTTGTGGTAATATATTTTACATCATTTGCATAGACTGCACCTTTTTTGTGCTACATTTGGCTCTAAGCCTAAATCTGGCATTGTGATTTGGGCATACATCTTATGTTCTGTTTCATACTAACATAAAATTATTGCATTAATATTTTATCTGAAGAATGGGAATTTTTTGAGTACAAATGAGAATAGTTGTAAACTTTCCAAAGTCATTTAGCTGGGTGGATTTTACATGTAAGTAAAGTCCTACCTCCAGCCAGGGAATGTGAGAAGTAATTCAGATGGGACAATGTTTTCCATCTGCCACTTTCCTCATAATGATATTGAATCTTTGTTATGTAATAAGATATCTTATAGTATGTCACACAGATAACATAACTCCTCTTTATTAATCGAGAAACACAAACATGATATAGCATATAAATAAATGCAGGGGAACATGGAATACAATGGAACAGAAGGTTGTTTTCTCATATACCCTCAGATGTATTCAATATGTTTTCCTGAAATAATTTTTTGCATGAACTGCAGTACATTGTTAACATTTTGACACAGTGTTGTTCTGATTAGTTCACATCAGACTTCATAAGAAATTAAAAATCTTAACTATGTAATTTGTTTCAGTGGCACGGATGTTGGTGTACAGTGAAACATACCATTTCCTGACAGTTGTTTCATATTTGTTGTTTGAATCACATTTTGTGAGACTGGGACTAATGACTTCTAAATTTCAAAAGGCAGTTTTGATATTAAAAATATTCTGAAATTTAAGAATAGTAATAGGCCGATTAAAATAACACAAATTCACCTGGCTGGAATCATAACATTCTTTTCATTCAAACACTTTCACTTTTCAAAACAATGTGACAACAGCTGAGCTCCAGGCAGCTAAATGAATAACTAAGTGTGATGTAACTTTGCTTTAACTGTCACTCTTATAGTTGATATTGATAAGGGAAAAGTACACACCAAATAAAAGTAACTTTTCTGCCTCTTAGGCTGTCCAAAAATTGATGGTTTAGGAAGAACCATCTTTGTCTATATTTCATGGACTGATGTTCAGTCTTCAATTTCGGATTTTATGACTTTATTCCCCAAATTGTTGCTTCTTAGAAAATTGACTTCACAGTCATTATCATCATCTTCGAAACATATCACTTCTCCATTGTAAAAAATGTGTCTTTTTCCAAGGGCATCAAACTGAACAAGAAAAAAATCACCTTCCAAAGGATCTTGTTCTAATTTCTTAAAATTTTCAGGACTTTTATTCCATTATTTCATCCAGAAATTCTTCATCATTATCATCAGAATTGGCATGAACAATTTATATTTCACTTTCCTCATCCTTACAATCACATATCTTTTTCTTGAAAAGTGATGTTTTAGGACCCTTCCCTTTTGAGATTCTTTTATTTTTTTTCTCTGGGGTGCTTGTTGAAATTATGCTTCTTTTCTAATGAGAATATTTGTGCTTATGCTCACCTGCTTTCAGGTAGCCCTTTAAAGTGATCAGAGCTCTTTATTCTGAGCTGTGAGCTAATGATGGTTCTGTTGCCTGGCTGAACAGAACAATCGTCTTTTACTTAAACTACTTTTTTTGAGCTAGCTGGAGCTGCTGCCTTCCTTTATTACCTGAAGATATAAGCAGAAACCAGTTTCTAAAACGTTATGATTTTATTTATAATCTAAGCAATAAATAAAGTAAAAAATATTTTTTAAGGTTGTAATGCACATCTAAACAATAAATAAAGTAAAAAAATATTTTTTAAGGTTGTAATGCACCATTTTCAGAAATCTTCAGACTTCTTCCCCTTTACAGTTCATCTTACACTGTCTTGCACCATATTTGTCACCTTTGAGTACAAAATAAATGTAACTATTCTTGATGTAAAATGGTAGCCTACACTGTACTTGCAAAAGTATTAATTAAATTACACATCAATACTGCTATACATTCTTAAATGAAAAATGCAGAAAATTAAATATTGATGATGCAACATCACAATTTCATTTGAAGAAGGTACAAAATTGCTATTAAAGCAGGAGCTCAATGAAACAGCAACCTGAGCCATTAGGTCCCAGCTGCACTATCCAAAAAGTTAATGGATGTAACATAAAAACCAATAATGTGATAAAGATGGGAATCACCTTGATTGAAAGCAGTGCTGTTAAGATCGAATATGACTACAGCACATCAGAAGCAAATTTATAAAAAACTGCAGAGAAATGCAAAATATTGAAGAACACAACATTTTCACATAAATTGCTTGAGAAGAACAGAGAACAAAAAATAATAAAAATGAAACTAACCAGTCATATTTAAACAGGATAATAGCTTGAGTAACTACTTGAACTGTCTTCCTCCTTGCCACATATTTGTAAAAAATTATATCATCTGTTTCACTGTGATGCATATTACCCTGATATTGGTAATATAAAATACTTATTTCTTTGGTGTAATTATCTTTTTGTTTGGAGGGTATTTTGTTAAGGCAGGTCCTTAAGTGTATTAAGGCTTCCATAAGAAGGATAACGAAAAGATGAGTTTGCTCTGTATTTAAGCACCAGAGAATGGAAGTGTAGTGGGTGCATTGTGATGGATCCATGAATTATAGACCTGTGTACTAGTTGAAAGTTAGATGTCAATTTCTATTTACTTTTAATGCCAGGGAAGGACCATGCAGTATAGATTTTATATAATGCTGCTTAAGCCACATAACCGTGTAGAAGATTGAATCCTTGCTAGTAATTAAACCCTTGCTACTACCCAGTACATAGCCAGTCACTTTACTGAGGTATCTTGGCTGACTTCATATGGAGAGCAGAACATTTATTTAGTATGGACAAAGGTTGAATGTGACTACTAAGTTTCAGTAGAGGCTGATATTATTGCATAGTATTTCATGTAAAGCTGGTCAACCGTAGTGGAGTTTTAAAGTATGCAGAAAAAGAGTGGTTCACAACTTTACTTTTAATGTTGCTACGGAGAAATTAACTTTTTTACCCATAAATTGCTTTGGTATGAATTTGTCACTCACAAGGAAATGAGACTCAAATAAACATGTTCATGCCGCAGAGCCGGAGGCCTGACCTGAGCAGAAAATCATCAACATTGATTTGGTAACTAATACTTGAAATTCACCATCACTGCTAGTTTCTATATTTGAAGTGACAGTTGTTTCGTTATTGCAGTCATAGACTACTTTTAAGTGGTAGTAACTGCATTAGAAAATGGCAGTTGTTTCGTTATTGCAGTCATAGATTACTTTTAAGTGGTAGTAACTGCATTAGGTAGCATTGTCTACAGTGCAGGATACAAAAGTCTTCATCATGATACAAAATAAAGTCTTTTGTCTCCTCTCACCCAGCTACACCTTTTTTCTGTTCATGTCACCAATTTTTTTATACCATTCTTTGATGTGATGTGGTACCAATAATTTAACTATGAACAATGTAACAGGTATAATATATCAGTGAATTGTGTTGCTTTTGTTGTTTTATGCATGAGAAACACAACAGTGAACTGTCACTGAGCATAGTTCCATATTGTGGTGTTGTTAACATCACAGAAGGAGAAACAATTACTCTCTTCCACCATATATTTAAGTGACCTGCTCAGGCCAGTGACTGATGTCACAATGCAGCAGATACTGGCAACACCAGGCTTGCGTCTGAAAAATACAGCCCCCTTTACTACCACTGATGCTCTGCCTTCTATATGTACATCACAGCAAATATGTTTGGAAACTGTTTCTATAACAATGAGTTAGCTGGCATTACTTCAATTAGAGGCACTTTATTTATCTGCTGTATAGAAGTTTTGTTATTGGAGCCTATAGCCTGGCTAGTAGCTGTAGTAGTAGGTAGCTAAGTTATTTGAAACGGCGGTACCTGTCATAACTGACACACTGATGAACAGGAGCATGAAAGGCATTCTGATCTCTGTTGTTCTCTCATATTTAATTTTTATGCATTTGAATTTTCTGCTACTAGTGATGACAGTCACTGCTTGGAATAACTGTTACAAGTAATGTTCACTGGAACAGTAATTATTCAGAAGTTACTGGATCAATAACCTCTAGTCCTGAGCTAAGAGGGCTCATCCAACAATGATTTTCAGACATTTTGAAAATGAACTTCCCCTGAAACCTATGTACAATGTCACACCACTACCACCACATAATTTACATGTATTTTTCCCAAAAAAATTTAAGTTAAAATCATAGGTGGATGATATATTATCATATATCATGGAAAGTATTTCAGTCCGCTTGACATAGCCTTTAAAGTTAAACAGTATATCCAAAAAACTTGGTAAGCCATGTATGTGGTTACATGTAAAAAAGTATGACTTTCTTCCAATTTAAACTCTTCATGTATTCATTAACAGTCTTCCTGTCATGTCCATCATATTTCTTTTGTGCAGTATATCTCATGTACCTCACTTCCATGGCCACGTTCATGTGATTTGTGTTATGTGAAAATGATAGAGCTTGATTCTCACAGAACCATGTAAAATATGATGTGTTACAACTCAGTCTGCTTGTATTCTTGCCCACTGCTTTGAATGTTGTACCTAACACTATTACTAATTTTCAAACTTCGGTGGAGACATTTTTTATTGATGTAATTTTTCATACATGAGGCTGAAATGTGTGAAATATACAGGAATTTTACTTTTCCATTCAGTTTTATAGCTGGAAGAGTGGGTTTTATGAACTGCATGGACATAAATTACATGATGAAGTATGACACACATAAATGAACCTTGTGTGAATTTATTAACTGTTAAGGGGTAACAAATTTTAACTTCAGATAACTTTGAAACAGAAGCCTATTATAATTAGCATTACTGTATTAAGTATATGCCTGGTGTGACAGAGAGAAGAATGAATAAGAACAAAGTTGTTTCTTTTAATGTGAAAATTATAAAGAAGACTGACTCTTTTATTTTCCAAATATCAGTATCACTATTATGGTATTAGACCATACCCCTTGTGCAATTAATTGATTGGTATAAGAATTCAGGGGTAAAA